TTGGGGAATATTATACTATATTATATATTTAAGGGCATCAGATTTGCATAAAGAGAACAGGTTGGCTGGTTGGATCACGTTTTAACTGGTCAAACTTTAATGTAACTGCTGAGATCTGGGGCTTGTTTTTTGTTTTTGGTGCTATACTGGTGTGAAAAATGGTCAGAATTTGCTAGCGTGACTACATGTTAAATAGATTTCCAAAGGACAATAAATTTGTAGATAAAACATTCTTTTAAGTAGTGTCCGAGATATTTGAATGCTCTGCGTCTGTGAAGGTTCTCATGCTCTGCGTTCAGTCATCATAAGGCCATGGTTTCTACATGATTAACTTGATGGGAGGGCATTCAGAAGAGACTCTTTCTTTTTTTTTTTTTTAATGTAAACACCACAAAAATCAACATAGAAGCTTGAAAATATCCGCTGAGTACTAGAGTTAGGGGTGCAGAATGTCCTGGCAGAACACGTCTCTAATTTGTGAGCACATGTCCTGAGCATCTCACTGGGCTGGTAGATCTATAGTAACTGCAGGCTGAAGATGTTTAAAAATGCAGCCCTGTATGAGTTTATGGGTTGGATTTGTAAATTAGAACCAACTGATGTCGTTTTTGTTTAGTTTGGTTTTAGCTTTACTTTGTGCCTGAATTAACCTTTTGTATGTTTTGTTTTTTTAGCAGGTTTCAATGAGGTGATACTCGCAGCTGTGCTGTCATCCTTGCTTTTATTTGTTCTCATTGTGGTAACAGCTTGCATCTGTAAGCTAAAGGCGTGGACATTTAACCCCTCAGATACTCTACCATCGTCTCTGGTAAGGTGTCAAATAAAAAACTAAACTAAAATAAGCAGGACATGATGACATGATTAGCTGTTTTTTTAACCTTGTGCCAAATGCGTTTTCTGTTCCTGTACCTTGCAGAAGGACAGTGCAGGGAATCAGAGCAAGCATCCACCCAACCCAACCAGACCACACATTAGTCAAATCTCTGTCAAAAGCTTAGGCAGCAGTCAGGACAACCCCGAGGAAACTGTTCTTCTCAAGGACACCGGTCAGTCTGCAGACAACAGCAGTGCTGGCTCTGACTACAACCCTAGCAACTCCTGCTACGCAGAGAGACCGCATTTGGACAGCAGCGATTCTGACAGAAGCGGGACGGATGATGACTCTGGAGATGACTCTGTAAAGACGGAGTGTGTTTCAATTGAAGAAAGGTCTGCTTATGACTGCCCACATGTGATGATGGACATGGGTGGTGGAGACATGGTTACAGGTTACACTGGGAAGTAAGTCATGACTCGGAGGACTGAAGCTGTTTTTTTGTTTAAACTCAGGTCATCAAAGGTTAACAGCCCACCTTTGGAATGTGAGTTTATAACAATATGAAATCTTCACTATATTTTTGCCAGTGGTTACCACTGCACTGACAGACTTGGCTGTCTCAGGGAAGCAAGCTGGACATCTTTGTCTTCCAGCTGTTTTCTGTCGGGTTACAGAGGCAGCTAGCTGGATCTCTGCTGGTTTCTGCCCCTGCATCAGATACAAGGATAATAGGCAACTTTTATATACCGTCTTTTAATCTCTGCTTAACATATACCTCTATATATAAAGTGATCCGGCACAATATTAAAATCACCTGCCTATTATTGTTTCGGGCTCAGCAGTGCTATGTGACAGTGTTTCCTTTCACTGTGGAGTGGAGCTTCTCTGCATTGTGCTTTCTTCGCTACATGCTGAAGAGAAGTGATCAGTTTGGACGTTTTTCAGTGTAGTGAGGTGACTGACTGATGTAGATTAATCCAAAGGAGGTTGTTGGAATATTAACGACTACTTTGATCTATTGACAGCAGTTGCAGTGAAAGGTGCAAATATCTACTGATTGTCAGGGGCAACCATATTATCTAATCTAAACAAATATAATGTATTTGCATCTTTTTGTATTGTGCTCTACGACAATTGCTTCCATTCATTTTCTAAATTTGTGTTGGGGCTTATCAAAGCAGTGTCATAGCGTGGCTGGAGCCTATACCAGCCGACGGTGTGTGTGAGACATTTGGGACAGGGGCGTCCGTCCATCTGTTCTCTTAACTTTATATCTAAGACAATGGAGCCTGTCTGAGACTCACCCTGGGGGAAAGTCTATCATGAGGCCAGTGGCTCAAATAAAACCCAACTATCTATAACAGGGTAAATAAACATGATTGTTTTTCTGTCTTTTTGTTGTATTGACCCTTAAACACTCTTAAAATGCCTTAGAGCCATTGTAAGGGTTTTGCATGAATAGTCAGAGATAAACCAAGGATTTTCCACTCCTGACAGCAGATCTGCAGGTGTCACAACTACCTTTCAATGCTGCTGACGGTGCCACACCTATGCAGCCGGCAAAACCTGCTCTGTAGGCCATGGGTTAGTGCCTTTGTTCTGCTTGCCTCATAAGCACGCAGGTTTGTTGTTTACTTCATGGTTGATGTTTTGTTTTTTTCTATGATGTGGGAAGTGTAAAATATTGTTGTATTTTTGTACAGCTTATATGATCACATTCTCTTTAAAGGTCGGACACTGGAATGATTTTTTAAGTTTTTTATGTGCATTGACCAAGAATGTTTGCTTCCAGCATCACTAATAACATGAAAACGTATCAAACATGAGTTTTTCCTCTGACTGAAACATTTAGGCCTGCTCTCTCCTCAGCACGCGGTCCTTTATTGCATAACAAGAAGGAATGTAAACACATTTTGTCCTGTGGGGATTAGACGGCACGGTAAAATCGGCAGGAACCCGGAAAATTGCTTCTGTCTTGTTTTGATCATTTATTCAGAACTTTTATGATTTTATCGCCAGCAGTGACGACTGTTTATGGCTGGGTGTGACTTGAAGTGTTCCAATACAAATCAAATGTAAGGGGATGCATTACAGGTGAAAAGAAGGAAAGAATTTTCTAATATAACTACTAATCTTCCATTGTGGATTACTTAAAGTAAAAATATTTGTAATATCTATTTTCTGAAATGTAATGATTTTGCATTATCATACATATTTCTTCCACGACACTATCCTGACCAAATACAGTGCTTTTTTTCATTTTGCTCATATTTTAGTGTAAATGCTATTGTCAACAGTTGCCATGCTTTTTAATAAATTGAGTGAATTGCTGCTGAAGTGGACATTTGAACTGGCCAGAAAATGTGTTTTTGTATTTTTTAGTTTTTGTGAAGCATTATTTAAGTTTATATAATATCACATTGAAACTTGCCAAGATAACTTCTTCGATTATGATCCAACCAACAAAAGTAAGAAATACTGGTGTTAAAGGCAACGTGTAGATACATCAGTATTAGGCTTTTGGTTGCTGTCATGTTTTATTTTACCTCAAGTCATATATTTGGATAAAAACAACAAGGTTCTTACTTGCTCACTAAGTTACAGGCATAAATTGTAGGGTACAATCAAAGACGGTAGAAAACACATAATCCTGCTAATTAATAGACTAATAAAAAATTGAACTACTACTCCAAAATGAAGCAAAAATGTCTTGAACAGCAAGCAATCATTTCTTTACATGTTTAAAATTCTTCAGACTCATGTATTTTAGATCATGGTTCATTAAAGCCTTAAAAAGGCAACACTAAGCAAACAACTTGGCAAAGAAACCATTTAAAACGTTGTCTAGGCACGAGTAAGATACTTTTTTTTGCACCACTCAGGTGATTTCCTAAGAGCCAATAACTTGCCATATTTCAGCATGATGTGTTCTTGGAAAAAAAAAATACCCGCTCCTTTTGAGAAAACTGAACAAGTTTTTCTAAGTAGCAGGCCTGAAAAGCTTATCTGCAGATCAGCAGATGAACTCATGTAAAAGTGATGTGGTAGTTCAGAGCAGGTTAAACTGGTTTGCAGTTCAGTGGTGACGTTTACAGTAACGTACTATGTTGAAGTGCTGCCGTGGTGTTCACTATCAGTGTAACAGGGAACATGACAGCATGATACATGATCTGCTCTAATCCTGTTGAAGTCAATTAAATCTGGATGTCAGAGCAGCACAGCTCAGCTGATCACAGCCTGCACTGGCCCTGTAGAAATAGAATCAATAGAAATCACTGCAACTTAAATTAAGTGATTGTTTTCTTCCCCATACCCACTTTAACTCCTGACTTTAGTCATTTTTCTGTTTAAGTATGAAGGCAGAGACACACATCTACAAAGAGCCTTTTTTAAATTTCCTGTTTTTCTCTGCTTGTGCTTCACAAAACTTTACTTCAGGCTCAATCTCTCATTCCACCAGTAAAGATGTGAAATCAACGTAGCGTGGAGAGAAGTGCGTTTCCTTTATTGTTGCAGGTTAGGTGTTTAAAGTGACCCTCTAAATTGTTCTTGTTTGTACTCCACCTCGTTATCCTTATTTGTTGCTCACAGCTCAGTTTAGACATGTGGCTAGCAAACAAGTTGCCATAGCAATGTTAGTAAAATTTGTGCTGGAGCTGATCCCTGTTTTGCTTGATGGGCAGGCCGCCTCCAGCTGCCTGCGTCGGAGCTCATCTCTGTTTGAAGAGGACAGCACTTTCTCCTGTTTCAACTACAGAGCTTCATCAGCCCCTGCTGGTGATTAGTTGGATCTACAACAGCACAGGACTTGAGTCTTGTGTAGCAAACAGTTTAATTCAATTGTATTGATGTTGTTTTTTCTTTTAATTATGCTAAATGTGTTGATCTCAGCCCTTCAGTGAACACCAATGAATTAGTACAAAATGTAAAGTTTCTGAAATGCACAAAAGATAAACATCTTGTATTTACAGTAATAGTTTAGAGATGTTATTAAATGTGTATCTTAAGTTTGTGCACAGACACATAAGCTTCATCAATGTAAGCTTATTTCATAACATCATATAGTGACCAAATTACTACAATTATGCTCAGAAACTACTCGTACAAACTCGGCTCTTCAGACCGGACGCATCTCATTCACTATGAGACAAACGGGCCCATAATACAGTGAGTTGTTTTTTTAAAATTGATGATAATAACCATAATAAAATTAATATTGCTGCTTAGATATGGTTAACACAGAATCAGCCACTGAGTCATCCACCTTATCACCTGTGGTAAAAGTACAGCATGACAAGACTTACAGAAAGAATCTCAGAAAGCTGGATTAAAGTATTTTTAATAAAGGCGCAAAATTCATATTTGACAGGCATGACTGAAGCGTGACAGCCTGTCCTTCAGTATTCCTTCGACAGCACGATATCCTGAGCCGGATTACTGGAGACGAAATTCAATTTTTGCTCTTTCCTGAATGAATTGGATGATTTGGGGAAACCAATACTTCCCAACATCCCCTCAGACCTCTCATTTGCCAAGATTTCCTGTTCTGTCAGCTCCACTGAGGTGAAGAGCAACATGTGACCAGTTGAAAAGTCAGTGTCGGCACAGGCCTGGCGGGCAGCTGCTAAAGCTTCAGGCCTTGAACATTTGTCCTCAGGTTCAACATCTGCTTCTCCTGTCGGGCTTTTTCCTCCTTGAATGCCATTTTATTGGCTTTCTTTTCAACTCTTCTTTCCTAAAGAAAACAAACAAACAATAAAATAAAAAATATCAGGAATCAAAATGTAAAACTGATATTCTACAAATCTCTTCATGGCATAATCACAGCTTCCTTTCTGTGGGAAGGCTTTGTAACATCACATGTTTCATCATTAAAATAAATAAATAACTGAGCCTAGTCAGCACAGGATACCAAAGTATTTACCCCAGTTTGCACTTGGATTAGACTCCTTTCAATGACTTCTTCAGCTCGTTAATCTTAGGCTGGGTTAAAGAATTAGACCTTTGTCATTCTGACTCAACAAATTCCAAGAAAAGAACAAAACCAACATTGACTTAGTCCTCAATAATCTGTCTCCGCAAACAGGCTCCTCGCTCTCAATTTTTATAAACACTTCATAAACACTTGGTCTAAAAAACAGCTGGTCAGTGTCGTTTTATTCTGTTAAGAGGAGAATATTTTCAGCTCAGCAGTACAGAGAGACTAGGTCAAAATTAACTCGTGCTGATGATGGAGACAGCTGATTTTAGATGGTGCTGAGAGGAGTCGTCTCTGATCCACTGTCACAGCAGTGACTTCAGATACAGCTCGCTGACCTGCTCGCGTCAGGTCACAGGTGCTGTGACTTCATCATTTGGTTCTAAACAGAGGCCGGGACAGACTTCCTCACCTTACGTTCTTCCTTGATAGCCTGTTTCCTGGCCTTCCTCTCTCCTTTGCTCTCCTCTTTGCTTCGAGGCTGAGCGGAGACACGAGGCAGGTCTGTGTCGTTAATTCTCGTCATGCGCTCTGCCTGCTTGGCTGTGAGGCCTCTGGCTGGGAGCACATCTAGAGGGATGCCCGTCTTACTGGAAACACGGATCGGCTTTGGCTAAAGACAGAGAGAATTCAATTCAGACCACACGTGAATAAACATGAATAATAAACCTTAAAAAAAATGACTCAAACACATTTTCTAAGCGTTTTATAAGAGCCTATCCCAGCTGTCTCGCTCTAAGACAGCTGGGATAGGCTCCAGCACCCCCTACGACCCTGAAAAGGATAAGCAGAAGCAAATGGATGGATGGATTCATAAGTCACATTACTGACGACAACAACAGGATTAAAATGAAATAGATTCAAGAGTTTTTCAGAATTTTGAAGGTCTGACTCTGATTCTGTTCATCTGGACGAAGCGTTTTCAGTGGAGAGACCACTAAACATTTCTCGCTACGTCCAGATGAACCGAATCCACTTAATAATCAGGAGATCGAGCATGCATGGCTATATTCTTTAACATTTGTAAAAACAAAATCCAGTCTTTGTTTTTTACCTTTTGAGGTTCTTCGATGACTTTGGGTCTGTTGTATATGTTGGAGTATGTACCTGGAGGAGAAAAGAAATGGATCATCTGTAGAATAAAGATGTTTTACACTTCCCACCACTACTGAACAATAAATTAAACCAACACCATAAAGTAATCTCAACAGTCTCAGTTTGTTGGAGCTGCACTCATCCATAAAGGATACAGCAAGACTTCCAAAATAATTGTTTTATACTATTTTGCACAAGTCTGTAGATTCTCACTGTTGTACCATCTCAGACCTCCTGCCAGTGATCTGAGCCAAAGGTCTCATATTAAGACCTGCCACTGATTTTCAGTCCAGTTCTTGTCTACTTTGGCTTTTCTTCACATTTTTTGACAGCCATCCTTCCACTGAATCCAGTTCTAATGAGGCTAAAAACTAGAAGCTTCAACATAGGAGCCAGATGCATCATTCAGGCCTTTGTTGTGCTGTTGTTTCCTTTGTTGTCCACGTGTCCTTTTCCCTTAACATATTAAAGGCACTGCTCACCACACTGTGTCATACCAAGTTTTGGCTGATAATGCTTTGAAAATCACGCTGCTGATACAATAAATATTATTTTATGCCTGTCAAACTGTTATCTATGGCATTTTTGTAAATGCAGCTAAAGAAATGGGAAGTTGTTTCTTTGAAAAGGCTTCTAGTGATTATATCTTTAGGCAAGAGGCAACATGCCTAAAGAGATCATCTGAAGCAGTTTTGTCATTTCATTCCTTCAGTTAGGGCGATTTTATAGCCTTCACTGCTTCACAGGTCAGCAGGGCCATTTCACAGCTCCTTTTAAATGAGTGTAACTCTGTTACAGTTTGTGCAACAGGCAACATTGAAACGGGTCAGTAAGAACAGAAGCTGAGCTTTACAGAGATATTTGGTTTGTCATGGTAGCACAAAGCATTCACAAGGTAGTGCTGTCTGAAGACAGATTGATTTTGTCATTTTACAGCCAAACCTCCAGGTGGATTGCATCACCTGGGTGATAAAGGGTTCAGAGGCTAAACACAAAAAAGACATTCCTATGAAAATGCTCATGTATGAAAAACTAAAGAAACACTTTGAAAAAACCATCAGAGAATCAGGAGAACTTGAAAAATTACATTAAAAAAGTGGACGTGAAATACAAAGAAATGAGGGCTCAAGACTTTTACGCAGTAACATTCTGCATTTAAATATCTCTGGAAAGATGAATGTGTTTGTTTGTTCTCCCGAGCGACGTCACAGATCAAGAAATCTGTTTACAATGTTAAAAACTTGGATGAATAAAAGAGCTCAGAATAAAACTCAGTGATGAGATAAAAATAGAACTTTACATAACATGATATAAAAACTCACTGATGATTGTTTCACAGTCCCACTTCTCCTCTGGAGCTTCAACAACAACGGTTTCCATCTCTTCTTCTTCATCCTCATCTTCCTCCTCCTCCCTCACAACAGGAAGCTCCTTGGGACCTAAATCTTCCGGCCTCAGAAACCTGATCCACAAAACAGGGGAAAAACCCCACACACATTAATCAAATAGATCAGTTAAAGCCACACCACTAAAAGAATGAAATATCACTCACTCCTTCTCTTTCTGTTTGAAGTAGTCTTTGAGGACTTCATCCAGACGAACACTGTCTGGTTCGATGAACCCTTCCAGCTCAGCGTTGTCCAGCGGACCGATCTCAACATCATCAAATTGTTCATAAAACTGAAACGGCACCATACAGGAAGTGTGAGCTCTGTTTTATCTCAGGTGCTTCATTTGTCACTGTACTTTTACATGAAGATGGGGAGAGTTCCTGACAGAGAAAAGACTCCATACGAATGCAAAAATGTTCACCTTTTCAAAGCGGTCGTCCAGCAGGGTGAGCTGCTCGTTCCTCCTCATCACAGACGAAGTCAGCGAGTACTCAGTGAAGCGACTCTTCGTCTCCTCGTCCATGAACAGAAACTCTCGACCTCGGCCGTCCCCTTCTGTGTCCTCGTTGCTGGAAAAACCGCCTTCAGAGTCAAAGTCGCCTTCCTCATCTGTGTCCTCCCACTCGTCATCATCATCGTGACCGTCTCCTCTATCACAGGTTACACAAATACAAACAATTACAACAGGATGTGACAGAATTTTTGCAGCCCCGGGGCTGAGATAGATTTTGGTCGCCCGACCGGAGATATCGCTAGCACCGGGACGTCGGGCTAGCGATTTTGCGAGCCCTGGAACAAAATGCGTTTTAGCAGTAAGGAACAGTGAGTCTCTGTCTTCCTGTTTTATTCAAAATGAATTGAGATACAGCTCAAGTTTTAGGGGTGTTTTGATGATCAGAAAATACTTTTCTGATTGTGTTATAAAAGTTAAGGCACCAAAAGTCACATTTAAACAATGTTGCTGTAGCGAAAATGAACTTTTAGGCATAGAAATCAGCCTTGCAGTTACAGTTTCATTCGGGCTTTACAAAAGTCTCTAAATGTCTAGAATCACAAATCTGGAATAATCTCGTTTTTTAAAAGATACAAAAATAACCTTTGAGGAATAAAAAGAAAATTTTGACTAATGAAATTCTTACTCCACAGCTCCAGTCCCACTGTTTGCTCTGATGATGAAATCATCATCCAGGATGTTGTTGGGGTTCTCAAAATCAAAGTCATCGTCGAGCGCAGCTACAATGTCCGGATCCATGTCGAGCCGGGGTCCTGGAGGAAAGCGTATAAGACAGTTTCACTGTGACGTCAGGAGCCGAAGGTTGGCTTTAGGTTGCATCACATGTTAGAATTAACACATTATCTTTAATATGAAACAAAGTATATTTATGTAAATGTCTATATTATTATAGTGAAACAAAATTTTGCACAAAATATCGATGTATTGAGCTCTACGCTGTGCTCACTTTACTGCAGAAGCAGAAACGGGTCACGGAGAGGAGTTTGTGTTGGTGTGTGGGAGCTGCAGCCTGTAGGTTTCTACTGTTAACTGAAGTTATGAGACGGTGTGTTTCAGATCAGTTCACAGAGTAAAATAAAAGTAAAGAAACGAGTAGTATAACGACCGTCTTTCTCCAGGGAGTAATTAAGTAACATACTGCATTACCTTAAAGTATTCCGTGTATCATGTGTTATAACTTTATTTTTATCAATGACCAGAACAAAGAGGGGAAACAGCAGACAACATGTAATTAATTTGCATGAATGTAATGTCTTTCATATGTTGCTTAGAGATGGTGGCGACTCTCAAAGTGGAGCCAACGAGAATCGATAAGAGATATCGATAATGGAATCGGAATCGCTAAATTCTTATCAATTCCCGTCTCTAGATATGACACCACAAACTGACTCCCACCACATTTTTGCATATTGTGTTGTAATTTGCATGTTTGACAAGCACGGCTCTAAAACCTGCTGTTCTGCTGCAGGACCCAAATCTGCTGATGAGACGCAAAATTTCAGTTTTGTTTGGTTTTAGAAAATCTTCTAAATCGGGTCACACAGTAATTAGTGTGGCAAATCTTGAGCCACAACATTCAGACAGTATTTAATGATGATTTATATCCAAGTTATTAAGATAACTATTATTTTAGAAGCTTGATAAAGGTCCTAAAACACATTTAAGTGATGGGCTGTTTACCTGAAATAGGAGCAGCTTTGTTCAAAAGTCCCACCTTCTCTTCAAACTCTGAGGCGAACACTGAAGAAGGCAGGTTGATGGAGGCGGCCTGCTCGTTGAACAACACAGGGATCATTTTAGATCAATTCCTCAGAGTAACTAGACGGTGCACAAGTCTGTTAAAAATGTTTCACAGCAACTCACAGGATTGTCCTTGTGCACGGTTTTTTCCCCCTCATTCTCCTCCTCTTCACCTTGGAGGGAAAGAGGCTGTCTGTCAGAGTACACCAGCTCAGATGGGCCCGACGCCTCCTTCAGGTGCTGAAGGTAGTTATAATCATCATCAAAGAATACGCCAAATTTCCGCTGCTCCTCACGCCTCTTCTCCGTTTCCACCTAAGCAACAACAAACACATGATCACAGCATCACATTAATGCTGCATTTCTGAAATGAAGTGAAATATTAGCCACCTGGTTGTAGCCCCTTTAGTTTGACCAAAGGAAATCAGAGCAAAAGAACGTGATTGAACAAATACAGAAGAAGAAATAACAACTCTAATTATGACAAATGACTTTGCTGATTCCTTTTTCATTGTGAAGTCCTGAACAGTTTAACCCCCTTTAGGGTTCTTAAAAACCAACAAAAGCTAAAATCAGCTATAAAATCATTAAACACACATCCTGTGAACATGAGTAAACAGACTTATGATCAGACCAGCAAGGTTGTACCTTTGTGGCAGGCAAGAGGACATGCTGTGGCGCTTTCTCATCTGCAGCCAGAGGATCCTTTTGACTCCTGTGGACGAGGTGAAAGGTCACAGCCTTCTTCTTGTCAATAAATGCCTTCTTCTTTCGATGGGGCTGAAAGAAACAGAAAATAAGCCAGAGAGAAACTTTGAAAGACTTCTGAAAGCCTAAATGCGCATTACTCAAGACCACTTTCAACAATACAACAAAGTCTGGCTGATTGGAAACAAAATATAAATAAACTAGAGCTGATTCAATGCTCAGTACTGTATTACAATACAAATACAACACCGTGGGGATCGTCACGCAATAGTGTTCTCAATAAGCAAACGTAACACGGATTCCTTATGGCTGACGCCATGGCAAACTTGGTTAACTTGTCAAAAATCAAAACTTAAGCCATTTCCTTTGTTTGTTTGTTTTAAAGAATAGTTTTTACTTCAGTCAACTAATATGGGTTAGGGTTAGTAAACACCTATAACAACTTCGTTTTGTAATGTAGTTGCTAATGCTGTGTGAGATGCCACTTTACTACTTACGTCCAACTGTTTGAGCAGGGTACAACAAACGCTGACAACGATTTTAGAGACTCTTTGAGATCATTTGAGTTCATGGGTAAACTCTCTAGCTCACATGAATAGGATTAACAAGACACTTTTCATTTAACTTACTTTTAAGTTTTCAATGTCTACTTCTAATTATAAAGCTATCACAACCTCTCGCTCACCAATTTTTTTTTACCAGTTTCTTGGGGAATTGGCACGTTAGCCACTGTTAGCTAACAACATTAGCTGCCTTAGCCTGGCAATATCTTACCATTGTGTTACAGAGTCTCTCCTGTTTTCCGACGGGTCAAGCGAAAAGGTCTTCAAATCTCGATTCACGGGTAGCTGTTACAACATGTAACCGTTTAAGTGCTCACTCCTTCTCCGTTGTTTATACACGCTGCCTTCACCTTCACCACGCTGATGCTACCATTACTGGAAAGAACCATTAGCAAGACTAAGGGGGTTATAGGCATCGATGTGAAAGCATTGATATGCTACGATGAGGTTTTCTTTCCCACAAAAAATAAATAATGTTGTAAAATATTTAAAACTATGTTTATATTTATAATATTATTCGTGATTCCTGCGTGTCATGTATGTGTAATTTAATTCCACGACATTATGGAGTTAGTATATTCCAACAATTTTTTCCCCATGCAACTTTATTTATATAGTGCCGAAAAACAAAAATATTTTTCGGTCTTTTAGGGGTCGCCACACCGTGTTATGTGTTAGTGATGGGCAAAGGAAGTTTTTATGATACACAGAATTGTATCAAGGTTTCAAAACAGGTTTACGTGTCTCCACAGTGACATCTGCTGGACACAATGTGCAGACAGGCGTTCTGAGTGCACTTACTATATCAACAATTATGATTAACACTTGTTCTGGAGAAACCACCGTACAAGCAAAAAAAGAAAGAAAGACAGAAAAGAAAAATGCTGTTATCGTTGAACAATTCGTTTCAGCAAATACTATTAAATTCTCATGTTAAAATACAAAAGGCTTTTTCATGTACTAAATAATTCAGTGCAACGCAGGACAAACCAATTTATAAAGAACTTTAAAAAAAAAAGATGGCTATATCTATTGATGAACAGGTTTTCAGCTGTTTTGAGGCTGAGCTGTGCTCCATCCTTTGTTCAGTATTTGAATAATCTCCACCTTGCCTCGGCTCCAAACCACACATTAGGTTTCACTACCGTTAAGTAAACCTGCTTTTTCACTCTTGCTGCTGTCCTTCTGTAACCAGTCAGCCTTGGCATTATTTTCTACCTGTACTCTCTTCTTCAGTGTCTGTTGCTTTGTGTGGTTGCGACTCTGTCTCGCATACTTTCACATACACAGGTATGCTTCCATCTTTTCCACTACAGATCACAAAGCCGTCAAACATCGTTGTCAAGCTGCCTGACCTCGTCTGTCAGCCTGTTCATCACCACTGCAAACAAGAAGTAGCTCACAGCTGATCCCCTTACCAACCTAGCGGTCACTTCTACTGTCTCACTGTCTCACTGTCATCATACATGTCTTGCACCATCCTCACATACTTCCATACATCCTCATGCCACTGCTGACTTCCTAAAGCAGCTGATTTTCAAATGAAGGCACAGATATGCCCTCAGTATGTCTTTAAATTTCTTTATTTCTTTCTTGTGTATAAAATTACTGAGGAAACATGAATGAGACACATTGTATGCATTCTCCACAGCTCCACTGTAGTTAATACTATAAAGTAATATTTTTATTGTGTGTGTGTGTGTGTGTGTGTGTGTGTGTGTGTGTGTGTGTGTGTGTGTGTGTGTGTGTGTGTGTGTGTTTCAGCTGAGTCATATTTCAGTGACTGTTTGGTTGGTGTGACCACACCTTCATTCAGTTCTACACGTACAGTTTGAGTCGTTGTGAAAGAATCCAAACAACACAAGAACTGAAAGCTGTCACTCCACTGTCACAATATCTCACACAAAAGAAGTAATGTCTACTTTTTAGTAGAAAAAAAAGAAAATGTCTCATGTAAGCACTTAACATCACAGAGCACGGAGTGTTTTGCAGTTTTCTTTTTTGTTTGGTGTCTTTAAGAAAAGACAGAGAAACCTTGGCTAGATCCAGTCTCTGTGCACCAGGAGGTGATATTCCACTTCCCCGGAAATTGCTTTGATACAAGAATAGCAGTGCAAACATTTTTGTTTTAGATCACTCTGATATTTTTCCATGTCTTATGTTAAACATTACTGGTTGTCAATCAGCAATTTTTGTCTTTCAAACCTTATCTCTACCCAATTTACACTCCAGGTATTTTTTACAGTGATTTTCTTGTATTAAGTCTTTATTATATTGATCAGTTTGGTGGTTCTCTCTTCAGTGTTAAAGTAAAAAACAAGCACATTTTGTGTCCTGAATAAAATGTTGGAATGTTTTAATTTGAAAACTAAATGATCAGTGTGTATGTTTAATTGTAGTTTTCCATGTGACGTCATAGAACAAGCTTGCCACGTAATCCTGCACTAAATATCAACAGCTATTTGTATAAATCTATTTTATCAAATTACTAATGCAACAATGCTAAAGTCCACAAAAACAAGTAGGCCCAAAATCTGGCTTGAGTAGTCCTCCAAAGAAATTCATGAAAGAGAAAACACAAAAACCAAGTTTTATTTTAAAATGATTCCCACTCAAGCAGGAAGCAATAAACCAACAGAAAATAAACCAATACTTTGTCCAAAAGCTTAAGTCAACAAAATTTAGTTCAAGCACTATGACAAAGCATGCTGCAAATGCAAGTTTCTGCTTTTGCTATCCGTGAAGTCATTCATGTGCAAATTACATTCTGCTGATGTGAACCGATCCGATTCATTACATTTTTTCAGGGGTGGAACCCAGTGATGGCCTTCCTGTAACAGCTAATTTTCAAGGTTAGGCACAGACAGGTTCATTCATTAACAGCTGCAGTTAGCCTTTTTCACTTTTTATCATAATTAAGATAAGATGCAATCAGCTAACAGAAAAAGGGCCTTAAAAAAATCCTCAAATTTTTAAGATTTCTTCGGTGTCACAGCAAAAGGGAATTGACAGTTAATTTGAGTTTTTTTATGTAAACAAAAACAGGACGCATGTATAAAGGCACTCATGTTGCTGCCACAGTGAAGTTGTTAGTCAAGACAACTTCACGTGATTGCCTTGAAAGTGAGTGTAAGAGGGTCAGTTGCTCCTTTAATTTTTTAGTTTTCTCAAAACTACTAAAAGTCAGACTGATTTGCACAAGCAGAATTCGACTGGACGAGTGTGAGATTGATGCAGACTTGCCAGGCAAACACTCTCGTGCACTTGGCTGCTTTACAGACCCAGCTGTTAAAGTCCTACATTTGAGCTCACAGACTCGTACCATGTCAGAGGCAGTGAATACCTAAGGTGGACCCATGACCAAAATTATAAACCACTCCCATTCAAAAACATTTGAGCTCAGACAGTGTTTTCACATTACATTTCAAATAATAATAATAGCACAGAATCTGAATCATGGCGAAGTTTAATATTCACAACATTGCTCTTAAAGATGATCTGCTGCGTTTTGTTCCTCCGCTGGTATCCGTTTCAGTTCCTCCTCATACGTTCATCGACAACATCAGGAACTGTGAAGCAAAGAGGAAAAATTGCAGTCAATGTTCACACGACCGGCAAAAGCATGAAGGCTGTGAATGCTACATCCTAAATCTGGTTAGTTATTGGGAGATAAAGGACGCATAAAATGTCTGACAGCCTGACTGTCACGGACCTGGATAAACAGACGCATCAGGTATGTGAGGTACAGTACAGTAGAAGATACAGTAGAAAAGAACTCAGGATTCACGTTTGGCGTGTTTGTGTTTACCTGCATGATGTTCATTTGCACTCGTCCCCTGTTGAATTTGTCCAGAGCCTGGAAAACTCCTGGATAAAAAAACACAGCAAGAAGTCTTCTCTCTGATCTTTATGTATTTTTGTACTTATTGTGATCCTTGTTTCCCAAAATGTAAAGCGATCTTTTAACATAGTGTTTTGTACATACTGAACATGTTCTCCAGACGGACAATGCAGGTGAGGTAGTCATCAAAGTCAATTTCGTAGTTCTCGTCAGCAAACCTCAGCCCCACCAGCTGCAGGAGCGGGTTGTTCAGTTGCATGCCTGCATTGGCGGAAAAGCAGCAGTTATCTTTGAAACTTTGGTGTTCAGATAAAAAAGATTTAGACTCAACTTACCAGAGACTCAGGACAGATGTAGTGTTAATATTCATTAAAATCATTATTGTAATGTTTGCAGTGTTATAATTACTGCTTTGATTAAGAACACACTAAAAATATACTGCTATACTATATCTACTAACATTTTTAGTAATATTATTATAAATGATAGTTACAGGAAATGAAGCTGGTGATATTACATGTACACCTTATGAAACAACTTTATTTGAAGTGCAAATTCAATGAGTATTAAAATAGGACAAAGGTTTGTTCAGTCACAGAAACTAACAGGTGAAAACTGAATTCGTCAAACAGAGTTTTATATATACATATATACACACGATTAATGTGTCTTGAATCGTCTTGAAAAGCTGAACACGTTTAATTGGCACGTCACTAATCCCCCTCAGAGATATTTACACTGGCAGATTTCAGCAGAAAGCCAGTATCATCAATAAGGACCACTCACACCCTCGACACTCGTTTTTTCCCTTCCCTCTGGTAAACACTACAGGTCCATCAGGTGAGAGAGAGAGAGAGAAAGACGGGCTTGGGAACTCTCACCTGCGGCTTTGAGAGCGCCACGAAGCTCATAAGATGACATCTTTCCTGACCGGTCCGTGTCAAAGGATAGAAAGAGCATCTGTAGCAACGGACGTTTGTGGTTAATAGTCTGAGCAACAAAGAAAAGTGCTCCTCCAACATTTCATTTACAGTTTTTCAATATAAATCAACACCTACAATCCACTTCTTCAATTTTTCCCAGAAGACCTTAAACTCTTGGAACTCTATCTTTCCCGTGTTGTCCACCTGGTTTACTGTGTCAAGAAAAAAACCTAAGAAGCATTGTGGAAAATAGCTTACCAACAAAACCTTCTTTCTATCACATATAAACAAACACACACAAAATATCAACAAAAAATATTCGACAACTTTGTCTTGTGATGGAATATGGACATGCTGGCATAAGTATCACTATTTTAGTAAAGCACCCATTAGGGCAAACAAAGTACGCATGGCTTAATGCGACAACTTATGTAACACAATGACAAGCATAGAATGAGTCAGTAACTTGAAAGGATACATCCATAAGATTGATGATACTGTGACAGGTGCTGAGACTCAGGCCATCAAATTTGATCTCTTTTCCTGAAGATAAAGGATTAAAGTGGTAGTGATACAAAAAGCATGGCTACATGTAATAATGCAACACAAATTTATGAATCATCTCTGACCATTAATATAAGGCATCAAGATGTGAGGAGAAAATGTGTACACTACACAAAAGATAAAGTATTTTGCTATGTGATACTGACCTCAGGTGTTTTAAATGTATTTAGTTCAGTCTTCAAATGATGTTTAACATATTTACAACAGTGTGGCTTGTTATTGTGTTGTTTTTGAAAGATTTTTAGTTGCTATTAAGCCACTAAAACTTAACAACAACGTAAAAGTTATTTATTTTTGCCACAGTATGTAATCTCACTTGTGACACTTTGATTCTTGTGTTGGAAAAATCCAATGTAGGCTGATCAACCTCTCCTTTAGATATCGCCCTAAAACAATCTGTAGGAAGGAAATTGGCTTTTTCTGCTTGCTTTTCTTAAATAAAAAAACTCTTAGTATTAGCTTCACATGGTCATGGTTCTGGGTCATTTGACACAGCCTTTTGAGTGTATGGTGTTTTGTGATTTCTTTGTATTATAATGCTTTAGTTTCCTATTTAGTATTGAATAAGTCCTGGTCTGCTCTGTTTAATATTTATGTAATATTTCTCTTTTCCCGTCACTGTCTCATCCCTGTGTCTCCTGTCTCGTTCTCTACGGATGTTTCCTTGGTTATGTCTTTGTTTCCCCTTCCTGTTTACATGTTTCCCTCCTTGTGCTTCGTTACATGTCTCCCTGTCTGCCAGGTGCGTTCATGTGTGTTGTCCATAGCTGTCATATGCTCTGGATTTGCTCCTCACTTATGTCTGTGTCTCGCCTCCTGTTTCTTCTCTGTCCCCATGTCAAGTCCACGCGCTTAGTCTCTATGTTTCCTGTTTTATTTTGATAGTCTCATGTTCCATGTTCAGTGTGTTTAGTTTTGCTTCCCCTGTGGCATCATGTTCATTTGTATCAGCTGTGTTCCCCATGTGTTGGTTTTTTATGTCTTGTGTTCCAGGAATCGATGCAGCTCAAGTCTAGGTTTCAAGTTCAGTGTGTTTTCATGTTTAATGTTAATTTTCTTTGCCCTTTGTTTTGTGTTTTTCTACCGGCCCTATTAAATGACTATCTGTTACAATGAAGTTCTGTTCCACGCGTCTGCTTTTGGGTCCACACCTCATCTCCATACAGTCTGCATCCGCGGACTGTGACACACATTCTAGGAGAAATTACCTGTACGTCTGACTTTTAACAAATATCAGGCGAAGAAGTTAAGCTGCAAACATCACAAATGTAGGACTTAATTGCAGGAGATATGATGACTGCATGAAATGCAGAAAATGGACTGAAAAGTAAACAAAAACCAGAAACTTTCATTCACTTACTTCTGCTGAGAACACCATTCAGCATCTCCTGAAGCTCTCTGACAGAAATGGCCTGATCCTGTAAAAATTGCAAAGTGGAAGAGATCAGTGAATTCTGACTAAAGAAAATTGCAAAAATAAAAATAAAATAAATGAATAAATACCATGATGGATGCAGAAACAGAAATAATCATCATTTGCAGATCTGAGCTTCTTGCTACAAATATAACCAGCTCTTTTATGTAATATGTAATTTTTTCATTAAAAATAGATGTTGATAAATAAATCAAGTAAAGCTCATAAAATTGTTATAATTTAGGTTTTTTGTTGTTTTTCTGCAACATTCATACTGCAGAAAAATCATCATTATTCTTCTTTCTTTTTAAGCAGCTGGCCTTTAATTGTGGTTTGGAGCTACGCATATTGTTTATTGTGGGTATTTTTTCACAACCGCTGTGCACTTAGTGTACTGTAAAACTAAAACAACGAAGGCTCAAAATTTCATTTCAAAATTCCAGAAATGGTAAAAAATATTTGTGGAATCATAACAACTTGAAGCACTTTAATTATTTAATTAGTTCTCATTGTAAAAAGGTGAAACTTGATTTGAAAATGTACAAACTAGACAAACTTGCTCTTACAAAAACACTACTCATCTGTACAAATGAAGGATGCTGTAGACACTGTTACCCCAAAGCCGAAGATGCTTTTCTTACCGAGCCAGCCAGCTGTTCAAACAGCCTTCTGAGGCCTTTCTCCTCCTTTGTCTCCTCCTCTGGAGGGCTGGGCATGGGTGGCTGATGGAAACAACACAGGCTCAGTATAAACACATTCAGCTGCTTGATTGACTGAACAGGTAATTGGGCTTCTGGTTATCTACTTACGTCTGGCAGGTCGGCATCAACTTTGCTTCCCATCTCTCTGTGAAGAAAAGGCATAGTGTAACAGTTAGTGTAAGGGTTGAAATGAAATGAAACCCCCCAAATTTTGTTTAATCAGGTTATTAAATAATTATTCCTTGATACCCAAAAGTTTTCTTTAGGTTTGATATTGCTTTAACTTTTTGTTTGCTCTTTTAGTTTCGCTCCAGAACCAGAGCTGCACACTCACAAAGCTTCAGCCTTTGTCTCAGAGAAGACACGAATAAGAAAGTCAGCCTCGTGGTGGGGCTGGAAAGTGGTGGGAACCAGCAGGTAGTTTCCAGGAGGCAGCGAGAAGCGTTCTGCCACCTCCCGCATGTTGATGTAGGTTCTGCTGCGTGCCTTGGATCCATTGTAACGGAAGAAGTCTTTCCCCACATGGTCCTCGCCCTCTGGAGCCTGAACAAATCGGGAGAAAAGACATTAAATTAAATTTGTAAGTAAATTTGTAACAAAAGAAGAAAGTAAGTAAATACGAAGGAGCGAGCCAGAAGTGCAAGGCTGACCTTTTAAAAATATAACATATTTTGAAATGCAAAGAAACGATATCACTAATAAAAGACACATCCGTTTTACCAATGTCCCCAAACTTTTTATCACTAAGAACTTCTTTAGCAGATGGGGCTCATCCAGTGAGTTTGTGTCCGAATGGACATTTCTGGTGCATTTTTAAGGCTGTGCCTTCTCTTCATTGTCTCGTAACTCTATCTTCTTGTGAAGAGATATGAAATGCTTAAACACATTTATATTGGACAGAAGAAATACATTACTGTAATATTTAACATGTGCAGAAAAAAGTCTGAAATTTTTGCTAATATTATTGCTCATCTACAAATATCTGTTTCTTTGACTCAGTTTATGGCTCCTTTAAACTAATGCCGAGACTCAGTCTTTCAGAAAGGGGCGAGTAAATGTGTTCTGCAAGGACCAGCACTACGCCCCATGCTATTTATGATAACATAAAAAAATGGTTAAAGTGCACAGTCTACAGTGTTTTTCCAGACCTCATACACAGCAAAGCCAATGGTCTCCAGGTCCAGGCCTTCTTTTCGCAGTTTTCGTCTGTTCTTTTGCATCAGCGCGATGACCACACTGCAAGTATTATCACCATCAGCATCGCTCAGCAAAAGCTTGAACTGAGGGTTGGTCCAAAATGTGTCTGCAGATTAGAAATGTAGAACTTTTTGAGAGAGCAGTTTGAGATAGAAATGCCAACTGAATCCTGCATTTAAACCAGTTCATGTCAAAATATAAATACCAAAAAAGGAAAATCCAATGAAATCTCTAAGTATGCCTGACGCTTTGCTGAATTTGTTTGTCTGAAAATTTTTGATTTGTAGATGTATTGATCTCACCAATGTAGTTCCTGCAGCCTCCAGCAGTGGAACCCCGAATCCAGTTTCCCTCAAACACATTGACTGCCCACTGATGTTTTGTGTCCTCAGTCAGGGAGTCAGGACTCATGTTGCAAATCTCCACTTTGTCATAGTTCCTCTTGAAGTCCTCAAATTCCATCCTGGAGTTGCAAACAGCAACAACATTGTCACTCCTAAACTAGCACAGCTAGTGTGTGAGTTATGACCACGGACTCTTTAACTGGGCGACAACAAAGTCTGTAGCTGATAGCTGGAATCGGCAGAGATTAGCTGGCTCAGCCCAAGAACAGGCAAACTTGATACAGCGAGGCGGCAACCGGGATTTGAGCCAAAAACATTCTTGCTGTGAAGTAATAGTGCTAAGTATTGCACAAGAGTGTGAAATTTTATAGTTAAAAAAAAAGCCTGGCTGAAGTTTGTCAACAATGCCTGAAACTCATTTACGTTAATTTACTAATTTGTCCAAGTCAGAGAAACATGAAAATCTATGGCAGTTCATTTTTGCCATTTTGTTTCATTCCACTGCTACATTCATATACTACATATGCAAAAATATTACACGACAATGTGAAGAACAATTTGGAGACTGCTAAACATACTACACATCTTAATCTGTAGTTTGAAATTTATTATGTGGACTCACCAGAATTCACCATCATCTGCTGAATTCTGCATTATCCGATTTTTTTCTGCACTGTCGATGTAATTCCACTCTCTGGAACTGAAAGCAACCAGAGGATCTGTTACAACGTTAATCAGAGAAAAAGTCCCACAATCAAAATGAAAACTATTCAATTTTCTTTGGACAATTATTTTCCCTTAAATCTGTTGAAGATCAAACGTGGAGTTACTGAAATTGTCTAAATGTGAAATCTGGGAAAGTTTCAGATATTTGAATAATATTATTATGCCTGTTCTCTTCCTGCTAGAACTAGTCTTAATCTCGTCTCAGGGGTACCCGGGGTGTAATTACCGCTTTTTGTGGCCAAGTCAATGATGATTGCATAACTTGGAACACAGAATGACTGAATGAATATGAAAACAGAAACCAAACATGTAAAACGTATAGACACAACCTTTTTTTACTGTTCAATAATAGGCTGCAGCGGTCGGACTGTGAACCGTATTCAAAGTAACAAATATATTGTTTGACTATAGACTAGAGATAAACTACGAGGACGACTCTCACGCACAGACTCTTCAAGGAGACCTGCTTTTCACGTGGAAGAATGAACTTTAGACAATATGTGTAGTTTCAAGGTCAAAATAAAGTTTTCTTTATTCTTACTTATCACTCCAGGCACCGTTCCACTCAACCTGTCCCCAGGGGTTTCTAATCCGGACCAACTTCACCTTCTGACCTCTGGCATTCACCTAAAAACCCAAAAACAATATTCTGTGACTACATTGTTGAAAAGTATATGTTCTACCGTTTTTAAGTCTGGCTTTTTATTTAGATTTAAACTTAAAAGTAATTAATGTGTCGTTGTAGGATTTTAGTTGTTGTTTTTATTTTTTTAAAGCCATTGTGTCATTTTTTAAAGATCGAAGTTTCATATTTACAGATGTACAGTTGCATCTTTTAACAAGTATTACAATTACCTGAGTCTGTAAACTTCTAATTACGATTATTCAGCAACAAGTGGCTTCCCCTCATTATTCTTACATCTGCAGCTGAGACTGTTACTGAGACTTTTACCTCTTCTACACCTGTGATGGAGTATGCATGTCCTTTCACCAGGCCTGTGGAAGTCTTGGCCTCTGACTCTGCAGAGCTAGTGATCTGAAGAAAACCAAAGCATGCAGAGAGAGTTAAAACACAGCAACTGAGCTGATATGTTGAGTAAACCTCGTGGGCAAAAATTTAAAATTAGATTGTTTATTTTACATCAATAGAGCATCCCATCATTGAGCCTCGGTCCAGAGCTTTCTTCATGATATTGAACAGGTCTCCTGGAGCAGCCTTGGTCTCATACATTTCACCCACGCCACCAGTAAAATCCTCCATGGCCTCCATTGTGCTGCCACCCTTCAGGGATTCATAGCTGCCGTTCAATCTAAAATAAACGAGAGAAAAAAATGTCCTAGTGTTTCAGTGCATATAATTATATATAATTGTATTTATACAATGTTTCTTTAAATAACCTCTTGTCGCATGTTTAACATGCATGTGACAAGATGAATGGAAAGACAAAGGACAGACAAAATATTAAGAGGAAGCAAGTGATGTTACTTGGCGTAGGCTTTCTCCAGCAGCGCACTCCAGAACTCATTGCTGGAGGCCGAGTGGAGCATGATGAGTTGATTTCTCACTGTTGGCAGTCTGTCGTCCACAACCACATCGAGCCATTTGTTGTGGTTCCAGAACTGAGGGACCATCAGACAACATGTTACAGTGTAACTAACAGAGGAGCCGGTGAGTTTACTGCCTACACCGACTTCACACAAAGTGAAGACAATGTGTGATTACTTAAAAGAATCTCACTTGTAAATCTGTTTCTGTTTGACTGAAATGTGTTTTTTGCTTGCAACACAGTATAAAATGTAAAAAAGACATAAACATTTTACTCTTTCATGAATAATATGAGCTCGTTTTGCATCTGACTGTTGGGGTTGGGACTGAGGCAACAAAAGGCTTGAAGAGTAACGGTACTGAAAAAGACATCTGGAGGAACATGGTGGAACCCATTCTTTTGAACGGGTTGGGCACTGCATCTTTTTTCCAATACACCCGCCTGCTTAAAATGTACTGCAAATACACTACAGGCTGTGTTTTAACACATTATTGACTGAACATTTTGCCAAATGATGAATCAGTCAAAAAGTGTTTAACTTTATGTTTTCTGGCGTTCTTTTAATGTCATCGGCCTCTTTTGTTGCAAGTTCTGGAGTCGCTGAAGCAACAATTTTTAAAAGAACATTCAAACGCATGACGCTTCTTTAAGCGTGCTGTCATCCTGGTTCTTTTTATCCCTTATGTGTTGTCTTATTCCAGGAAATACTGCAGTGTGTAAACATCTTTGTAGAGTCTGTTATTATGATCAGAGAATCCTACCTGGAAGTGAAAGATACCAGCATATCTCTGATTAAATTCCTGGTCAGGTGGGACAACTCGGGCCAGGGCTTCTTTTTTCATAGTCAACGAAGCAACGGCTGCCAGGAGCCAGCAGTCCCCTGTGGAAATAAACAAGTGCCACATTAATAAAACCGTGACACATGTGAATATTCAAGATTTAAAAGTAGTTAAGTAACTTGAATACCAACCGAGCTGTCCTTGGCAAATGTCTGTTCTGTCTGCGCCATCTAAGATGAACTTTGGGTTTTTGCATATCTCCTGTTGAAGGGTCACAAAACAGGAAAACAAACTGGTCGGTTTATTTTTTAAATGACACGGGAGACCGGTGTGTTTGATAGGCGTGTTCACATTCCAAACATATTAATCGGCTGGTATCCCAGTCAGTGCGCACAAAATACACAGCACACAAAGCACACACCCAGGACAGAAATGTGTAGTAACTGTAACGAGCATGAGCTGTGAGTTCGACAGGTTGCTTAAATCGGGTCAGCTGAAGTGTACGATAAGAAACAGTACCCCAAAAATGAACGAGAACATGACATAGTTTGAAGCCAAAAACTCATGAAATTGTACATAAATGTCTCAACATTAAGTTGATCAGCAAAAGCAAACCTCTCACACACCGTTGGAGCAGCTGCAAACCAGCCCACTCCACTTAAGTTGGCTCAGAGTGGTACAAACGCCTGCTGCACTCAGCTATATTTACACAGCTCACCTGCAGAACTGGTTTTGCTGCTATAACTACAAGTATTTCATGACTTGGTTTAGGTTCAGAGTAATAAAAACAGAGTTTTGAACAACTTTCACTTTTTGAATGGAATCATTTCAGTAATTTGTCGTCTAATGTTTTCAGTGCCTTTGCAGTCACATGGACGGCTGTGGACATGCAGTTCATGTAGTTAATGTAGATGTATTTGAATAGTAAACATGCACTTTTTAAGGGTATGAAAAAATCACCAGATAATCGTTAGATGAAACATGCTGAAGTCGCTCAGTATTTTGAAATTCATGAACAGCACACGTGCATCTAACAGATTTCAAGAGCTCTTTTGAGTACAAGAATGCTCAGTGCTTACATACCGTGGGCCTCTTCCATTCAATGTGGACAGGAACTTTCTCGCTGAAGAAGAGAGAGGAGTCCTTGGCAGGGAAATCTGGATCCTCAAACAGGACTCCCTTCATGAGACATTCATGTCTCAGCTGCTCAAAGGATTTCCCATCTGACTGCGTGTTCTCCGCCTGGCTTGTGGACATCTTCTCTTTTGGGAAGAATCTCGGCGAGTGGAGGAGAAGCAGGTGAGGTGACGCGTGATGGAGTGCTGCTGAGTGTTTGATGCAGAGACAAGTCTGACAGGTGGGTAGGGCTGGAAGGTCCACACCCTCCAGACGGAAACTGGTTTGTCCTCCTGCGGCAGTCAACCTCACCCCTCGTGGCTCACACTGTGCCGTCTGTTCTCTTTATCTATTTCTCTTTTTTAAGAATTGGCCTGCCAAACACTGGGAGAAGTTATTCGTGATTATTTTGCTGGAACTGATAGCAATGATCTTTGCCTAGCATCTAACTGGGATCTGTTAGACTTGTAGAACCAAACAGAGGGAAACTGCTTATTTTGCCATTAAACTTTCACAGTGTTGAAAAATCAATCAACTTAAATCAAATTTGTGTCTGCTGGGACTTTCATAAGGAAATTACTTGGCCTGGATGTACTAGTGCAACATGGCTTTCACGTGGAAACAGAGAGAGACAAATATATTTTAAGTGGGCAGGGCTGAGGCTACAACTGATGCCTGTGGTGTTTTTTTTCTTTCTGTGACAAATCATTGAAGGACAAATGGTCACCCCTATCATTTATTTACGCCTAACAAGCTTTTTATGGGTTCTCAACTGAAAAAAATAACTACAATTCAACTAAATTGTTGATAATGCTCGAATGTCACACCACAGATTCCAAGTAAAAGAAATAATTAAATAATGCGGAGCAACCACTGACAGTCTGTATCAGCCTCAGTGTCTTGTCATTTCATGTCTCTGGCCACTGTAACAGGTTTAGAGATCAAGGATCTATCTGTCCCTCCCTTTTTCTCTGAGCAGTGCAGACAGATTTAGGGTGTGCCAGCATAGTATCTGCACCACCCTGACCCACAGCAGTGACACTTCACACTGTCAGGTATGACATCCACATTCCTGTCCCACAGTCACCAGATTCCTCTCATAGCTGAAGAAGAACTTGCACTGAGCTGTACTCTTTTGGGTTACTATTTAATCAATGTACTTGTGACCTTAATTACACAAATAAAATTATGGGTGATGTAGTTTTGCAGCATCCTCTACCTTCTCTTTGTCTAACTCCATCAGCTGTACTTGGTTGTATTACTTCAAAAAAGTAGCAGTAAGAGGTACAGTTGCTATTTAGGCCAAGATTTACAAGAACAGAAGCATCAAACATAGTAAACCGTAGTAAGAAAAAGTAGAATATTGGTCATTGTTAATATCTTTTAGTGGGGTCTGACTTCTCTTCTCTGAATAATGTAAATTTAATGTCAGAATATTTCAGGACTTGCTCTGCCCTCTGCTGTCATCCTTACATTCACCTGCAGCTCAGGCGGCAGAGCAGGTCAGCTGCTAGTCAGAAGGTTGGCAGTTTGATCACTAGCTGCTCCAGTCTGCATGGGCCTTGGGCAAGATACTGACCCCAAGTTGCTCTCCAGGGTATTGGAGTGCGAATGTATGTAAAGCAATGAAGCATAAAAAATTGTGGTTGTGTGGATGAGACACATTAGCATGCTTTGACTGCTAGACTGTAGAAAAGTGCTCTATAAGAACCACCTGCTGTTTACCCAGTTTTGGTGCACAAGTTAATTCACCTTTTATCACAGTAGCTATGACAAATATAAGCGAGCCAGTGTAGGTTTCATGTGCATCTACACATACATATGTGTAGATCAGGGGTGGCCAACTCCAGGCCTCGAGGGCCGGTGTCCTGCAGGTTTTAGATGTGTCCTTGATCCATCACAGCTGATTTAAATGACTAAATGACCTCCTCAACATGTCTTGAAGTTCTCCAGAGGCCTGGTAACGAACTAATCATTTGATTCAGGTGTGGTGAACCAGGCTGTTATCTAAAACCTGCAGGACAGCAGCTCTCGAGGCCTGGAGTTGGACACCCCTGGTGTAGATGCACGTTTGTATGTGCATGTGGATATGTGTGAGATATGTGCCTTCGCTTGTTTTTGTTATGTGGATTTCTCCTAAATGAAGCACGGTGCATTTTAAAACGTGCTATACAAATAAAATTAGCATTTCTATCGTAGTGTGCAGCCTTCGCACCAATACAGAAACATGTGAAATGTTTAAATACAGCTATTAACGCAGCCAGTAAAATAGAAAGGATCAGCACTTTGTAAATTTCAGTTGTCAGGTGATCAAGGATGACTGGGATGACGCTAACTGAACTGGAATTCTGAGGTTTTTATAATAAAGTATAATATGTGCTTAAGTACTCAGAAAGCTAAGGATTATGGTTGGATTCTTATATGACGTATTACTTTTCAGTGTCCTTCATTGTTCATCAACATGATACAACAAAAAAGGAATGAAATCTGACATTGTTAAAAAGAAATTGTTATTTCGTGTTTTGGACTACAAAAGGAAACAGAAAGCTTGGTGACCACCAAAAGAAAAGTTCCAGGCTGGATTTATGAATAACACATCAAACCCTAACCAGACTTTATATGAAATAACACAGGCATGTGTGTATTACCAGGAAGGCCCCCCAAAACTTACAAAAATAATGTCTATTTATAATTTTTATGAATTGCACAGTTAGAGGGTTTTTTTTTTCAAAAAATAAACAAACCAAAAAAACTTAGAAATGAGTTTTTACTCCCACAGCTACAGCAGGCACTCAGACACGACCTGCTGCTGTAGAACAAGAAAGACCTTTTTCTGCTGTTAATTCACAATAACTTGCTTCTCCCTGAAGAACCTTTAAAACGTAACAATCTTTAAACTTGATAGGATTTATAAATGTCTACCAGCAGTCCAAAAGCCAAACACGATATCAGTTCCATATCTCATTTCACAACTGAACAGTGGAAACAAAAACAAATATAACAGTTATTCCAGCAACATAGCTACCAACCAGTGATGGACGTGTGAGCCAAACAGAACACTGAACGATGTGCTGGAGACGACCTTTAACAGTCCACAATCAGTCCAGTCTCTGCTGCCAACAAGGAGCAATATTAGGTGATTATGTTGAGTGGCTTCAGGATGGTGACATCAAATCTCTTTAACCTAATACATCTTAGAAGCAATAGTTGCCCTCAGTGTAGATAGACCTAGATTAGTTAGGGAAGTTATTAGCAGGAGGCCTGATGGTTATTTACTGGAAGCATCTACCTACATGTTAAAACACACCGAGCAACATTATCTTTGTAACGTTCATTTTGTCAATATTGAGCACATCAGCACAAATAAATCAGCAGACTTCTCATCTTCCTAAATCAGGTAATGAGACAGTTGTGAGAGGACATGAACACAGGTTAGTTTCCTTTAAAAAAAAATACTACAATTACTGTGGACATTAAACTTTCTGAATTAAGACAAAAATGCAGAACAAAACTACCATTACCAGCCTTCAGTGTCAATCTGCCAGTAAGAGCGGCGTGGAACTTATTTCCTGCTCTGCCACAATGCAAACATGGAGTTGGTTCAGAAGTGGGTGTGGCTGAAAAGAACTACACTCTGTGAGCATGTGCAAATAAATTTCACTGTCACCTATGGTGCAAGGCGCTTTATAGCCAGCTACCCTAACTCATTTTGGCCCCATGTATGCACCTCAGTATACCAGACTCTACATACTAAGTGCATGCCTGTGTAAAAAAAGCTTTAATGCCTTCAAAGACACTGATACAGTTACTGCACTGAAGACAAACTTGGCAGGAGGTGGTTCTATTCAATGCTCTTCTGATGACCATTTACTAGAATTACAACGTGGATTCGACTGAACTGAAATCCATTTTACTGAACAAAGGTACGCTATGATGAGTGTAAAGAATCTGTGCCAAATGGCCATGTGAAGTAACATGGATTCAATTAGTGATAAAGAAAATGTGTGTATATATATATATATATATACACACTTTTGTTTGGTCCTCATTTTCACTAAATTTTACACATCATTCATTTTCATTTCTGGTTGTCAGAGTATTCAGTCACTGCATTTAATTTTGTCAAAGATCTTCAGCAATTTCCACATCGCCCTCAGACCTGAATGCTCTTCTTAAAAAATGTAATTAATTTGGTTTAAAACGTAACAAATGCACAGCTGCACTGAGACCACACAGAGTGGTTTTCTTCTTCTTATTTGCAGTAACAGCATTTTGCTTTGTATATTCTTTACAAATAAATAATATCTGCCCTATTCCTTTTGCCTACAGAAGGTAGCATTTGGTTCATTGTGTGAAGAGTCAAAATCCACGTCAAACACCAGAAGCAGAGCTTGAATTAGCAGCGAAAGCTGATAAAGAATTGTGACAGATGGGGTTTGGGTTTAGGCTTCGTCTCGCTGCCTAACCCAAAGAAAGCCCGGCAATGTTGAACGCACTTTATTGTACACGTCTCAGGTTTGAAATATTAAAGTTTTCTTTTGGGATAAAGCTGCCTGATAGTGTCAGTTATTCCAACAGTAACAATATTTCCTGAATTTACATCACAACAGAAAAACAGAACGTAACAATTTTTAGATCATCAGTTAAACAAGAAACTGGGAGATTCTTCAATATTGACATACCGTGAATTCACTTTGGTAATTTATTTCTTTATTTTCAAAAAAAAAAAAAAAAAAAGCCAGTTCATGAAGAATGAAATTTGAAGGACAGAAAACAAAAACATGTATCTCAGGATTCGGCTCCTGAGTTTCAGACACAGGGAAACATTCAGCTCTCGCCCAAAAGAGCACCAGATGTGACGGCTACATCTACTGCTCTGCTTTCTCTTGTGCGGTTCCCGTCACCAGCAGCAAGTTGCAGGCCATAAACTGGACATTGAGCACGTTGCTGGTGTTTCCAGTGTACATTCCCACCAATTCGCTGGACGAGCTGTCAGCTGACGTCCCACCGTGCGAGTTGCGGATGTCCCACACCCGCACTGAGTTGTCCATAGATGAAGATGCCACTAGGCTGCTGTCCGGACTAAAGGACAGGCTGGTGACACTATCTGTGTGTCCCCTTAGGTCTTTGAACAAAGTCCCAGATGCCAAATCCCACAGCTTCACCCGCTGGTCTTCACCAGCCGACGCCAAGTACTTGCCATTCGGTGAGAAAGCGAGTGACAGCACAGGGCCACGGTGGCCCGTGAAAAGGCGAACAGACGCCCCCTGCTGGGTGCTCCAGAGTCGCACAGTCTTGTCTGTGGAACCGGTGGCTAAATAGTTGGAGTTCGGGTGGAATTTCACACAGTCAACATCAGAAAGATGCCCTGCATAGAGCCTCAGTGGGTATGTCCGGGAGAACGTCCAGAGACGGGCGGTGCGGTCGTGAGAGCAACTGGCAAAGTAAAGGCTGCAGGGGCTGACGTCCACATCCCATACTGGGTAGACGTGCCCCTGGTAGAGCACCGTGTTGGTGAAGCTGCCCAGGTCCCAGTAGCGGATGGTTGTGTCCTCAGAGCACGAGAGCAAGCCGGAGCTGTCTGTGAGGAAGGCGGTACGAAATACTGGGCCACTGTGACCTCGCAGCGTCTTTATCTCACTGCCTGAGCTGTCCTCTTCATCTACCTTGGAAGAAATGATGAAAGATTACATAATTATACTTGATTTTGTTCCTCTGCAGCTTAATCTAAAAATAACGTACAGCATTTATTTTTACATTAAAAATCTAAATTTGCTAAATAATTTAATCTGCAGGTCTTTTTAAATCAGAGCCACCTTCTACAAATGAGACCCATCTCATTGCTAGAGATCGGAATTGGATCATTTTCAGTGCACCCCACCACAACAATGTTTCTAAAAACAAACCTAATCAGACAGTGACATCACCGTCGCCCAGATAAACGTGGACATTTTAAAAGGAGCTGAAGTGGCTAAAGTTAAAGCTATCCAGTGCGTAGAGGCCGCCATAGGCTAGCAACCTTTGTATGTGCCAGCAAAGGAAAAAAACAAAAACAAATTCAAAGCAGTTATGAGTTCAGTTTAAAAAAAAGAAAGAAAAAAAAAAGGTCCCTGTTGTCTAATGAATTTATATATAAAGCTGTTGCTCCTCCTTTTGTTTGGCAAGGTAAAACTCATTTTAGCATTTCTACCTCCTTCCAGTAGCAAAGCACTTGGTTTCAGATGTTTCAGTGAAAGAAGATCTAACTAACTCCAGCTTTGGAGAATAATATTTGGGACAATCATTTCTTCTGATATATTTGTTAAGTATTTGCATTGAAGACAAACTAAATTGTTTGTATCTGCTGTGATTTATGGTTCATAGAAAGAAAATCAATAACAGCAGGTTACACATTTTAACTTAGCAAATTGCAATTGGTTCAGCTCTGCTCACTACATCTTCCCTTACACACCTTTGACATACCTCTCTACCTGCTCCACCCTGCCTCCACTCTTTTCTTCACCTCTCGGGTCTGTTGCTTTGGAAGGTTGCCCTCAGATATTTAAACTCATGTACTCATGTCAACGTCCACTCCTTGTGCTTTGCAACATCTTCCTCTCATTCACATACATGTAATTTTATTTGCAACTCTTCCATCTGCACCCTACTCTCACTACAGATCATAATGTCATCTGCAAACATCATAGCCTGTCCATCACCACTATAAACAAGACTTCACCACCGTGTCTCTGTTCTCATGACAACCTTTGTCTTGTCCTCAGGATTATTTTCTCAGAGTTTGTACACCAAAAGAAACACAAGCAAATTTTAAAAAAAGAAAAAGAAGATATGGAAACAATTAAGGTGAAGACTTCTCATAACAATGTCTACTTACTTCCTCCTCCAGTACGTCACATGCCAGGTGGATGTGTGACACATCAGCCTGATGGGGTCTGGCCTTGAGTTTTCTGGCACGGAGGCTCCACAGCTTTACCGTGGAGGTGTCAAATCCACCGGCCAGCAACCGACTGTCAGCCGAGACCTCAGCAGTGTTCAGCATCTGCTCCGTGTGGTGGAAGGCGTAAAAACAGACAGTGGTGAGTGACGGTGGTCCCTCGCGGACTTTCTTGACGCAGTCCTGCAGAGCCTCAAGGGCTGCCTCATTCTGTGGGATCCCTGCTGGGACCTCCACCCCATCACCACTCTCTGTTCCATCCACTCCGGCCCAGGAGGAGGTGGAGTTTGGAGCAGCTGTCGACCCGCCAGCAGCTCCATAGAGCTGGTAATCTGTCCGCCTCGAGGCACTGACCTCCAGCTGCAGGTGTGTACTGAGGATCCTACAGAGGGCGCTGTTGTCCTCACTCTGCAGGTAACGCAGCAGGTAGCCGTAGGCTGGCTCCGTCAGGTGAACCACATATTTGTGCTCTAAGAAAGCATTCAGCTTGGGGTTGGTCACAATGTCTTGTGCACTGAGGACATGGCGGAGCTGCTCTATGATGGTACGCTGCTCACTGTCCTGAAGAAAGGCGCCATGAAAACGACTGTAAAAACCATCCACAGCCCCCTTCAGTCCAAAGCGCACCATGTCCAGGTGGAGGTAGACGAAGAGTGGATAGAGGACACTGCTCACCTCTTTAGCCCAGGATATGTCTGCTTCTATTTAGTAGAAAAAAAAATGTATATTTTTTAGGCTTTTGTAATCAATAACAACAAAGGTTAACAATATCGTAACACAGTTCCATCATCTCATTCTCGATATCCATGTGGAGCTGTTTGTATAAGCCAATAATAATCCATTTTGTTATTCATGCCCTTTCAAAAAATAAATACGAACATAAATGTATGAAAGACAAATGTTAAACCCAGTTTGTAATCCATGTTTCTCTCTTAACAGTCAGGACAAAACAATGTGGACTCGCACAAAAACAGCTTAAGAAATGTTGACAAAATGAAAAAATATCAGCCCTGGATGGTCGACAATACAAAAGCACAATTGTCAGAGAAAATAAAAATATTTAAAACTGCAGCAATATGTCATCTTTCAGAAAGAAGCCCCAGTCGTCCACAACCTTTGTCTCTTTCTGCTGTTTAGGATGCAGCTTTACCACTACCTAAAAACCGTGGAGCCGAGGCATAAACTTTGGGAACAAATACAATTATAGATGTGCAAGTCTAGATTCAGTGATGTAGAGCTCATACCTGACAGGAAGGCGCGGAGCTTGGAATACTGAATCTCATACTGCTGTGGGTCATACTGGCATGGTGCAGCAGAAACGACATTGGAACATCCTGACTCTGTCTGCACTGCTCAGACATAGAGAAAGAAGATAAAGAAGAAACCAGGAAAACTGTTAATTACAGAGAATATTGCCAGTCAAAGGGTCAAATACATTACACTGCATTATGAAAATAGATTATTTATCTTAACCAATTATCCTAGGGACACAGGTGAGCTGGAACCTATCCCAGTTGTCTTATGGTACACCTTAGAAAGGTCACGAGTTTAACAAAGGTTAAAACAAAACAAACAAACCAAGACAAAAAACACAGTCTCACAATCACTTAGAATCACCAGTTACCTAACACATGTCTCTGCACTGTGGAATTAAACCCAAGCAGGCCCATGGAGAGCATGGAAACTCCATATAGACAGCTCTAGGCTCTACAAGGTTCAAGCCCAAAACCAAATCCATGTTGCACTGAGGCGGCAGTGCTAATTTTTGCAGTGAAGCCAATCCAGTGGTGTTTTCGTGTGATCAGTCTTTTCTCATAACTATGTGGCTGTGCGATCTATTAATTAGGCTGGAATCATCATCATCTTACCCGTGAGACTTGCAGCCATTTCTTCGGGGGACTGGTAGAGCTTGGCTCCTTTCAGGGAGCCGTCAGTGTCCACATACTGCCTCCTCTTCAGGTACTGAGTCACGGCATACTGGATCTGCTCAGTGCGAATCCGCTTCATGACCTTACGAGCACAAGCTACAGTGTCAGACACCTGGCACTTTTCACAGCACCTTCTCTCGCTCATCCACCCAACAAGTCGGAAGCATATAGTAACTGTTTTCGTGCTCACAACGGACTACAAAATACGATACATGTCTGTGACTACTAAAAATTCTCATTCATCATCTCCGTGGTCAAATTAAACTTCTTGAGCACAGCATCACCTAGTAGCTAATTACATAGCAAAGCAACGCTGGCGTGTTTACGTTACAAGCATTACAAAGGGCCCAGCTAGCACAATAAAGATACGTGCCAACTAACGTGAAAGTCAGCAAAGAACTAGGCATGCAGTGTAAAGCTGTCAAGTTTCGATAGTAGAGGAGGATGCTTACACCAAGCTAACTGGCTAACTTCCTAATGCTAGAAGTGGGCCTGGCCGCTAAACTTTTAGCGGGATTAATGCCTTACCGTCATTATTTGGACATTGCTACTTACTGCATAACGTGTTGCTGTCCGCCTTCAGTTACTGTGTCCAAAACGACCGCTCTTAACGCATCACTGTATCTGGCTATAACTACTATATCAACGTCGTTCGCTGCCGCTCCATCGTGGTTATCCAACCCTGTCAGACTCCATCAAATCATGCTAGCTAAAGCAGCTAAGCTAGCTGGCCGCTCTCATCTTTAATCAGCAATTCTAGGTGTCGTTAATCTACTGCTTTCGCCTGGCTCCCGTTAGTTTCAAGCTCAAGGCTAAATCTATAGATAACAGATTTCCTGAGAAGAAAAAAAAAATCTTAGAACACAGTTATTAGGTTGATATAATTTTTGTAGTTGATAAAAGTCAGCTACTATGATGAGATGCACTGAATAGTTTGGAGTCTCCTAAAGATCTGATGTCATCTTGATGACATAAATTTGTGTTTGTTTTATTTTATAAATTTATATGTAAGCTTAAATTTACTGACCCAGAGGCAGAATTGTCTCTGCCAATCCCTGCTGTACAGGAATCTGTGTGAAAGTGCACTATTAAGTCACTAAATTAACTGTGAGTTAAGTAGTTAGCGTACTTAACTCACATTTTAAGCCCCTTAAAAACGTAGAATCAGCAGAGCGGAGTAATTTAAAATTTTAATTTTAATTGGATGAATGTGGCCTACATGAAAAAGTGTGTGTGGGTTTTTTTTCATATAGTCTGACTGACTTACCCACACAATAAGACTTTCCTCTGTGAAAGTGTTGCAGTTGTAAAATCTCGTTTTCGAGTTGTAAATAAAGTTTTACAAAATAGGCGGAGGAGACGATGACGTTTTAATCCAGCGACTGCACCGCGCGCTGTTTGGAGAGTTGTATTTGGTGGTTCTTTCGTGTGAGCGCGCTTTTCAGGCAGGGTTGTAGTTATCACTGTTGAACAGTTCGGGGTACCACCGCAGGCATGTTTAGCCCCCGAACCGCCCCGGGCTCCGGCCGTAGGCAGCCGGTCAGGACCCCCGGGAGGAAGAGTGTCTCCGGTGCGGTCCCTGGCCTCCTGTTCTCCCCGCGCAGGACGCCGTTGTCGGCGAGGTGAGTGTTGTCGGATCAGATTTACTCAATCGGAAGGCTCCATATATATGGCAAAAAAAGACAATTTTACAGATTTATAGATGATGTTCTTTCGTGCTGAGTCGTCAGTGCAGTCTTGGGTTAACTGGACCCATCAGACTGTAGCTACAGCTGATTGTTCTGAGTTTGTGTCATCCCCAGATCAACACCTACCCGAGTGCAGAGCCATGCAGGGGCAGAAACTGTTAACTATGATGTGCAGACCTTTGGCTCATCCCTCCCCGTCAAAGTCATGGAGGCACTGACGATGGCTGACGGTAAGAGAAACATTGTCTTCTTTCTGAGAATGAAAGGTGTGCGTGTGTAATTTTATGAGCTTCAAACTAACATATTCATTTTCTATTTTCTTATATAGTTGCTCTCTCTTCTCTTTATGTTTCTGGTTGTGGGAGAGTTAGTAGTTTCCACTAAACATTTGTTTTTCATGTTCTTATTGGTTACTCTAGCTGATGATCAGATCTCAGTGAAGGTGTGTGAGAGCGGCTGGGCCTGGATGGTTTGTGGAGAGAGTCTGATCATCTGGAAGATCTGCCAAACTGCTGTAGCTAAGGTATGATCAGGGCAGACATTCTGCCCGAGTTTAAAATTCACTTTAAAACTACATTTAGACTAAAATTACAATCTAAAAATCATTAAAGAGTTATTTTAACATGTTCTTCAAAATAATGCAAGCGGCGTGAGGCCTTTTTTCCATCTGTAGGATCGACAAATAATTATTCACTGATCATTTATTTCATGTGTCTTAGTTTTGTTTAAAGAGACTGGGTACCGTAACATGTGGTAAATGTTTCAGCGATAGAAAGATGGACTTTTTTTTTCTCTCACAAAACCTGCTTTCTTATTCCGATATTAGATGGAGTAAACGATGAATCAAAACAGACTGAAAGTTCACAATGTGCTAAGCTGGCAGCTTTAAATTCACAAACTAAACTGTGTTTTCCTGCAGGTCTCAGTTTGTAAGGAGTTGCAACTGCCCAGCAGTGAGTACAACTACACTGCTGACCTTGTGGCTGTGACTTCCACTGCTCCCCTGGAGATGGCTGCTGTTCAGTCCATCTCTGTCTTGGCGGTGGCTGCAGAAGGAGCGGTTCGCTACTGGCCCAGCCTCTCCCAGGAGGGCAACTACACAGAGACCGATGTGGACCTGGGAGATCTGTGCAACTTTGTTGTTGCTGTCAGAGTAAGTAGGGTTCTTCAGTTGAAAATAGACGGTTTTGCTAACGAATTTGTTCCAAAAAAATCTCACCACTGACTCTGCCAAATCCAAAATACTCAAATATTTTTGAAAAGGGTCCCAAAGTACAACCACATCAAACAGTATCACTCCAGAAATCACTGAGGAGTAATGCTGCTGTCCACGTTTTATTCACTGCATACCTTGAGATATCTTGAAACATTTAAACACACGTAATAAAGCTGGCATTGCACTTTATTTTGTGTAGATTTGTAAGGAACAGGATTAAATCAACAACATGTAATTTGACCTCTTTGTTTCTCACTTCCTTCTCCTTTCTCAGGGTGGAAGCTTTGTCTTGTCCTCAGTAAAGAATCAGCTCTTGAGAGCAAGTGCAGATTCTTCTGGGAAACTGCAGTGCCGAGCTCTGCAGCAGGGTCAGGGCATGCTCTCTGGCATCGGACGTCGTGTCTCCAGCCTGTTTGGCATCCTCTCGACACCAGCCAATGACACGGTGAGTCCACTGCAGGGTTTGGGCTTTCATTTATTCTATCTGTACAACTCTTTTCTATCTTATGCATTTTTAATAATTAAGACTAGTCGGTGTACAGTGTTATTATTTTTCATCTATTGGTGATGACCTTTAAATACATCGAATAGTGTTGCTCTGAGCTTGACTCTTTCCCCATTTTTTACTGTCACTCATAGATAATCTGATTATAACCTGCTAATTACTTCCTCCATGTGTTATTTGTTTGTGTTTTATGTTAATCAAGTTTTTTAATCAATTTTAGCCACAGAGAGAAATGAGTGATTGCTTTTGATTCCGATTCACAAATTTCTTAACACCCTTTATGTTTTAAGTCTATCAGGCTGAATAGTGAGGGCAGTTCTTCTCCAGTGTCAGTTTAGTTATCTTCAGTGTTCAGAGTTCTGACTCTATTACTGCTGCAGCTCTGCAGTGTGCTGTGGGTGGGGGAAAGCAGCTCCCTGTACACACTCACTGATTCCAGTCTGAGTAAATGGGAGGTCGACGACAGCTCGGAGCACCAGATCCTCAACTGGGACGCGCGCAGAGTTCTGAACGAGAGCATCACAGACGCTATATGGGTCAGTATGAGCAAACATGTGACCTTATTTATTACAGATGAAGGGTTTTTTCCTGTTCTGCACTGTAGCAAAGAAAACTAAATAAATAAGATTCAAATGAAAATGATTTCCTTTCCTCCAGGGGTCAGAGAGCAACTATGAGGAGATGAAGGAGGGAGCAAATGTGGCATACCTGGACATGAAGCTCAGCCAGTGAGTGTGTGATTAAAAGCAGCTTGTCTTTGGATTCACAAAAACCTGAATCATTTTTGTTTCCTCCTTCTTCTTCTTTTTCACTAAAACATGCCGCATGTAGGATTGCATGTGCTAAAGCATGGTAAAGTGTTAGAGTGACCAACCGGCCTCTTGTTTTGCACTTGTTGACTTGTAAAAGTCTATATGACATTTTTTATTTCACGATTCATTAACCACACAGAGAAGCCATCGTTTGAATGTGTTAACGGTTTCTTGAAGCAAACAGTATTATTAAAGTTCTTCATGACTGGACCGAGTGTCCTCTTTTTTTGGAAACCAAAATATGGTCACTCTAGCGTTAGCATACTACGGCCAAACTGAGCTAGCCATCCTGTGTCGCTCTGCACTTCAAAGATCAATCTCAGAATTTAAAAAATGACATTCAATATATAAATATTAAATGAAAGATGGATTTTATCCATTCAGTCAATAAAAAGACTTGTTTTACACTTGACCTGATGAACACAAAAACAAAGAATTACCAGATTTAAAAAATAAAAAATTTAACGGATTTTTGTTTCCAAGGAAAATGAGAGCCACATATGAGGATATTCGTTTAAAATTTTGATAGAACAGTAGCAGTATAATGTCCTCGTAAGTGGACATCAGGCCCTTGTAGAGATATTTTGGTCTAAATAACCCAAGATGTGATGTCCACATATGTGGACGGCAGGTCCTTGGAGGTTAAGGGGCGGAGAGGAGGATGTTACTCTGTGTTGTTGGCGCATTTCAGGAGGACGCTGCTAATAAAGTTACACAATTACACAGTGAATTCGCGTTTATTATGTTATTTACAAAATGCCACCATTTTTGTCTTGGTCGTATGATTTTATTTTGTTGTATTTATCTGCGACACCTAAAAGCCGGTCCGTGACAACATTGTCTGACGTTAAACCGTCTGTGGTGTAAAAACGTTTGGGGACCACTGTCTTAGTCGACAGGTTATCTTGTGTTTATTTGTTGCCTCCATGTTCCTCTATTATTCGCTATTCCTCTTGAACTTACTGCACCCCTGGCTGAACCGAGCTACACTCTGTGTGCTTTCAGAGCCGGGTTGGTGGTTTTGGCTGCAGCCTGGCACCCGTCCGACACTCCCTGCCTGGCCTACTTCTGCCTGGTCACCCTGCAGGACAACGGAGCCACCATCTCTGACCAGTTCACCGTGGAGGTCACAAAGTACAGCTCTCCCTTCCAGGTCAGACCTGAAGCTGCTACTGCAGCAGTGGTGTTTTTGTGATTTGATGTATTAGAGGATCAGTCTGGTCTGCTCATCAAGAAGAGCCTGATAATTACAATCCTCGATTATAATTATTAAAACATTAACCACTTTGAAACGCAGAAAGAGTGGAACTGTCCAAACAAGTGACAGTGAAACTACAGGACATTGTAAAATAAAGTCCAGCATTTACAGTTCCTATTATAAGAGTGAAGATATTTATGCTTTTATTTTGAAAGTCTTTAGTTATTCTGTTATTTCCTCAGAACAAGGAGACGCTGCAGGCCACTCGGCTGGTGTTGCCTCGTTCCCCCGGCTCCACAGCCTTTCTGTACACTGAGGACGTAGTGTTCGCCTGCTCAACAGGAACCAACAGGGTCGCAGTTCCTGATGAGAAAATCAGCTTTAACTCACCAGGTGGGAAAGTTGGAGCGTTAGAGCAAGAACGCCTTCATTTTGTCACTATTACTGCATGTAATAGTGACAAAATTAATACTGTGGTCAGTGAATAGTTTGTTTTTCAATTAAGTTAAATGAAATTCCTGATTCTGTGGGATAAACTTCTTTTTTGTCGTTGGTCTGAAATTCAGTTACACAGAAGTATTGAATATGTTTCAAAAAATGAATTAAAATCTGTGACATCACTAACAAATTTCACCTGCATCTCATTGCCTCCCAAAAATCTATAACTGATCAAATTCACGTTGCTTGAATAAGTTAACTTTATCATATTTAACAGGTTTTTGTCCACTGTGTTGGTGTAAGAGGATTAAACTGTATGTTGCTTCGAAGACTCAGATATTCCTAAAAGATAAAATTGTTCGAGAATGTTTTGGTCAGGGATGAATTAAGAAAAAAATATAATAAAGTATTTGTAAAGGAATAAATAATTCACTCGACTTGTTCAATAGGCCAATAAATGCTTTCAGTTTAGATCAAATCCAGGTGAGTCTGTTTATGTTGGTGGCCTCTGTCTGTGCAGGTGATGGTGTACGTGGAGCAGGCTGCTGTGCCAACCTGCCGGTCTTTTTCTCGCAAAACAGCGGTCTGGTGGCGGTGGTGGCCAGAGAGAGTGCCTCCATCCTGCCAGAGACCATGGAGGACTCGCTGTGCTCCTCGCTGGCTGCAGCCCCGGAAGTAAGTTTCAAAGAGAGCCGTCTGAGCGATGAGACTAAGAACTTTCTTTTTATGCCAGTTTGCGAGACTTCGATCTTTCTCATGACTTCTGCGTCTCATAATTATTGACACAAGAAATCCTGAGAAGGAAAATTAGAACTAAACTAACATGTGATTATCGTGATTGTGGGTGTTGCAGTCATGCATTTCTAATGTTGAATTTGCATCAAAGGTGTCGGCCATGGAGACGCCAACCCGAGCCGAGCCTGTAGCTCAGGAGGACAAAACCAAACTCCTGAAGGCGGCCTTCCTGCAGTTCTGTCGGTACGTCTTAAATACAGCTCACATCTCCTTTGAAAAATATTTTAAAGAATAAAAATAATAAAGTGCCTTCATAATATTAGAAAAAAACAAGCTGTGGAAGAGAGCCAGAGATTAATAATAACAAATAATTAAATGCAGAGAGGTGTATAAACAGAATCCCCCAGCAGCCTGGACCTATTGCAGCACAACTAAGGAAAGATTAGAGGTCACCTGATTCAACCCAAACTATATGCTTTATCAAAAAGGGCGTTTTTAGGCCAAATCTTAAAGGTAGAAACAGTGTTTGTCTGCCAAATCCAAACTGACAGGTGGTTCCACAGCGTAGGAGTCTAAAGGCTGAAGGCTCTGTCTCCTACTCTACTTTTAAATACTCTAGAAACAACAAGGAAGCACGCAGACCAAGAGCAAAGATTTTTATTGGTGTGATACGGTACTAAGATAACTAAGATTAAGATGAGATGAGGCCTGATCATTCAAAGCCTGCACATGAGGAGCAGGATTTTAAATAAATATACTCTGTCAGGACTCTTGCTGAGTACAATAAGCTCTTTTCTGAATTTAGAAGCAGAAAATTAGGTATTGAGGTAAGTAATTGGTGTGTGTTATCTGACTTCATGGATAAATGAAGTTGGGCATCATCTGCATAGCTTTTCTACGCTCCTGGAGTCCTCAAAGCGCTCTATACAACACGCCACATTCACCCATTCACAAGCAGCTTTGTCAGTGCTTTAACTAACATACACTCCAACATCAGAGTGAGCAGGAAAGTGCAGGAGGGAGAGGCGAAGAGGCCATGCTGCTAGCAGGTCGGCTGCGAGTTCATTTAAGCTTGCGAATGCCTAAAACAGTGAGTGAATACTGAAAAAATATCAGCGTGTGAATCAACAGAGAGTGCGCTTTAGATAAAACGTGACGATTCCACCGTGGCATACAACGACACAGATAAACTCCACATAATCACCACTGTGTGCTGGAACAGGAAGAGCCAAGTTCACTTAGATATTCTGGATCAGGTAAATACACAAGTGACTAAATCGCTCTACTTTTTGAGAATATTGTTTTTGTGAATCTCTGGCCAACATGTTTGTTCATTTTTGTTGTTTATCAAGTAAAAACATCAAAGCTGCGTTTCTCTGCATCATGTTGTGTTGAGTGACTTGGCTGTTGTAAGCTTCTGATGAATGTTGAAGTCTTATATTGAAGCTCAGGGTCTTTCATATGGGCAGAAGGAGTCATCATTCACACTTTCTAGCCATAATGACCGGTCATCTGTAAGTGAGTAAGAGAAAAACAACACATTTGCTTTTCTTTATAGTTTGTTTCTGTGTGTGTATAACCTGTCTGTCTGTTGCTATTTGCTGGCTGTTTGGGGGCAGGAGCTGTGTTTCCAGACTCTGTGATGGGATTGTCTGTGCTTCCTCATTTCTCTCTGAGCCCTTAAAAAGCACTGAGAGGACAAGTCTATATTCCTGTAACGTTCCAAACTCTTCTTCTCTCCTCTGTCAGTAACGACCTGGTCGGGGCTCAGACAGTCATAGATGAGCTGTTCCCAGCTGACGGCGATGGGGAGGAGGGAGCTGAGCTGGACACCATGGTGACTCAAATCAACCTTGATTTGGTGGACGATTACCCGGCCTCTGACCCTCGCTGGGCCGAGTCTGTCCCCGATGGTGAGCTGAGACGAGAGGAAACAAAACACAAAAAGTTATTAACCAACCAATGAAAAGCTGTATTGTATGAAACTAGTGCTTGTAAGGTTTCGTCCTCTCTGCAGTCACTGTACAGTTCTCACGTAGCTGATCCGACTTTGCATTTAATGTGTGTGTTGGAAAAAGACTTGAACTGTTTTGTTTTTTTCTTCTCTCTCTGGGATTTGAAGAGAGCGCTGGCTTTCCTCTCACTTCCCTCATCATCCTTCACCAACTGGAGGATAAGATGAAGGCCCATGGCTGCTTCATGGAGTTTTTGCTGCAGGTAAAGAAACCTGCACTTTTGCATGTGTGCACACACTCAGAGTTCACTTTATAAGGCACACTTTAAGCTTGTTGGTGGAAAATTATTAAATTAAACTAGATTAAGATCAGCTTGTACATTAGATTGCAAAGGTACTTTTACTAACATACAAACAGGGCTGAAAATAAAAATGTGATACAAATCAAAACTCAAAGGCTGAATTTAGAAATGCATCAGTCCAGTTGCCTCTCAAAAGCCGCCATCATCCTCTGTTGCCAGGTTGGACTGCTGGACCGACTCACTCAGGTGACTGTACGTTCATCTCCCATGGCAACACGCCTGCTGCTGTGTGAACATGCGGAGAAGTTGCAAGCAGCCATGGTGCTGAAAAATCACCACACCAAACACTCTGAACTAGTGAACCGGGCCATCAGCACGGCGCTGCAGAGGAACAACACCGCCGTGCCGCAAAGCCTCACCGCTGCTGACGTCTTCTTCAGAGAGGTTTGAGTCTCTGGCAGCGAGAAGGTATCACAGTTTGTTTGTGTAATAGATGGTCATTGGACTGTTGTTGTGCTCTCACAGGTCTCTCAGATCTCCTTGGTGTTCGACTGTCTGCTGGAGGAGGAGGAGCGGAGTCTGAAGGAGAGTCCAGTGGACTCGGTGCAGTGGGCCGAAGTGGTCCTCACAGTCAACAACATCGTCAAGGTAAATGTATTGTGCTGTTTTCTTTTTTATTTACTGCGGTCACGTTAAAACTTAGGCTTCATTTTTAAGTGTATGGGTAGTCTTCCAAATGTAGAGTGTGTGTGTGTGTGTGTGTGTGTGTGTGTGTGTGTGTGTGTGTGTGTGTGTGTGTGTGTGTAGGACATGCTTCAAGCTGCTGGTCAGTACAGAGACATGAAGGCCTCCATGTACAGAGCGTCTGAAGATGCTGCTGCAGAGCCTGAGTACATCCCGTGGACAGGTGACAACATGAACCTTCTTAGAGTCACTTGGTGTCAAATGTACTTTGATGGGCACTCCAGTCACATGCAGAAGCAGACTGAGCACAGAACCGTGGCTCTCACAGGCCTGAATGTGCGCTTAAGGTCATTTATAATTTTAAACTTGTTTGATCTGCTGCTCAAACAACCACCAGCATAAATTTTGTATTTTATTATTTATTTGTTTTTGTATTTTTGTAAGTTTTACAGCTTTTCTTACTAAACAGTTAAATGACAGAAAAGCACAGAGGGAGTTTCACTGGTCCGACCCACTTAAGATCAAAGTGGATGTAATCTGACACCATGCTTTAGTCTAATGTCATCGAAATACTGCAAAACCTGCCATACAAACTCATGGCAGTAAATTTGGGCACTAATACCACAAAGTTTACAGAGTGGGTATGGACAGGAAAGCTCAGTTCTGAAAGTTTTCTGTTGGGAAATAAAACTTTGCTGTTTAAATTTACCAGCTACAAACTAAGAAAAAAATAAGAGCCGAATATGATAAATGTCCTTATGTATTCACAGTGAAATGTAATTATTCTACATATGACCCTATTAGTGTATGTTGTTGTTCAGTGTTTGTAACTAAATCACTTTAGCACTTCATCCAAATATGCATTCATCGGGACTTAAAATCCCCTCTTAAACTGAAGAAGTTTGGTATCTTTCTATTTCAGTGCTGTAAGAAACTGAATGTTTGAATGGCTCCGTGTCTGCACTGTGTGTTGGAGCAGAACTGATTATTAACCCTGTTTTCTTTCCACCTGACCTTGCTTATGCAGCATCAGGTGGCGTTGGCGGCGTTCGAACAGTCCTCTCGCGCCAGCACGAGATCATACTGCGCACAGTGTACCCACATGCTGACTCAGAGCTGCGCAATGCCCTTTGTGAGCAGCTGGTGGCGCTGTTGGATATCTACTTGGGCAGTTTTGTGGCCCAGCTAAACTCCCTGCAGCAGCAGAGGACCCAACAGGAGCGCTACAACAGCTTGGAGATGGAGTACAGCCAGCGGCGCTCCGAGCTGCTCGCACCGCTCTGTAAGTGGAGGATTAAAATGTGATGGCTGTGAATGATCGAGTCTTATAGATTCACCGAGTAAGATTTAAATCTTTAACATTAAAGGGGATTGTTGTGACATTTAGAAATTTAGATTTTTTTGTTAAGTTTTGTTAGATGAGTAAAAATGCTGTAATAAAGTATTCCTTTGGTAATTCCTCTTTTGTATGAAGAAATAAATTTTCTGTATTACAGGAAAAAAGCTTTGAGTGCTCACACTGAGTAGAAAGCTGGTATATTATTAGCTGTCCAATTACAGGTTGTTGCAGTAAACAAACTATCCATCACTTGAACGTGACCATGTCATCACGCAAAGCTCACACACAGGCATGTTGTAATCAGACACGTGGACACTGCAAACTGAAGTGTAACGTCCATGTCTCAATGTTTATGCTTCTTCTGTAGGTTTTTCCTTTCTGTTTATTTATTTTTATGTTTTTGCGTTGCAGTGGAGCTCGGTCAGTACCAGTGGGTGGCAGCGTTGGCTGAGAAGTACTGTGACTTTGACATCCTGGTTCAGATGTGTGAGCAGACAGACAACCAGAGCCGCCTGCAGCACTACATGGCCAAGTTTGCAGATCAGGTACACAAAAACTCAAAGATTCCTCAGCTGCTCTGCACGAGTTTCCCTACATGTTATTTACCTTTTTTATTTAGGATGTAAGGACACAGTGTTTTACGTTGTACAGGATTGTAAAGGCACTTTGAGGCCATTTTACATTTTAACCCAATAAAAACTAGGCTCCTCTGACATCTGGGCATCCAAAAAGCTAACCCTGACTCTCAAGGTCCAACTGTCCGACTCCAACATGAAGTCAGTACTGCTGTACAGGGCTGAAACCTGGAGCACGAACAAAACCTCAAACAGAAAAACCCAGACATTCCTAAACAGCTGTCTGAGAAGGATTCTCCACATTCACTGGCCAGACACCATCAGTAACATCAACCTATGGGAAAGAACCTGTCAACTCCCAGTAGACGAAGAAAAGATGGTGCTGGGTAGGGTACATGCTACGCAAACCACCAACCAACATCACCAGGCAGGTTCAGGTGGAACCCTCAAGGCAAGCGAAGGAGGCGCCGCCCAACAAGCACCCGGCGACGACACCTCGAGGCAGAAGTGACAAAGACGGGCAGAATGGCTCAGGACGGTATTTAGCCCGGCCCCTACCCTGGGAGGGGTGACGGGCAGCAGTAGTAGTTGACTGTATCTTTTATTTAGGCTTAAAAATATGCAGCCATCTGCTAGTTTGTTTGTTTTTAAGTTGATTTCATTGACTATGAATGTAGCCTGGTTGTTGGCACCAGACCTGTCACACAATCCTCTCCAGAGAATGCTCCAAAAAAGAGAAAAATCCCTAACAAAGGATGTATAACCAGGACTATGTTTAATTTTATGTTTCTTTTTTCTATATTGGAGAACTAGTGGCTCCTTTAGTGTGTTGTGACGTACTGACAAGGGCTACAGTCCTAGTGTAGCAAAGGACCAGATACACACAGGCTTGTCAGGCTTAGGAAATGCTTTTATTTTGCTTATTCTTTTCAGTTCAGCGCAGGTGACTCCAGCAGCTCCTTCTCCAGCTCCACACACACTCCTCTCCCGTCTGTCTCCGCTGTCGCTACATATAAAAGGGGAGAGAGTCATGTCTCTCGAGGTGTCTCCTCTGCCACCTCAGCGCCCTGACAGCTCACTGTACCGCCCCTCCACTGCAGCGGGCCAGAGACCACGCCCCTGCCACACATATGACGATTGACTAAATTGGCATGTTACCAAATTCTGTCTGGTTATCATGAACTGCAAATTTAAGAAATGTTCTTAACATCATCCCAAAAGAATAATAACAGTCTCTCGGGCTTTCTTTTAACCTGGATAACTTTGGGTACATTTACAGATACATCACCTTTCATCAGCACTTAAAGAAAGGTGACGCACATACCTGGAAGGAGCAGGTGTCTGCACAAATACCGGATTCTATCGAGAACTCAGACCAGAGTATATCAGCAAACACTTTAACGTTCTCTTTGTACCTTTACTTTTGCAGAACTTTTCCGACTTCCTGTTTCGTTGGTACATGGAGAAAGGCAAGAGAGGGAAGCTGCTGTCCCAGCCGGCCGCTCAGCACCAGCAACTCGCCAGCTTCCTGCAGGCTCATCAGCATCTCAGCTGGCTGCATCACATCCACATCCACGACTACCAAAGTGTATGTTTAAAAATAAAAACGCACACACACATTTACAATTCTGCTTCACAAAACCAGCACAATACAATTTTCTATGAATTTTTAATATCCCAACTAAATCCTAATCTGAACCCAAACGTTTTTTGGAGGGGGGGGGTTAGCCATTTCAAACCTATCAGGACCAGTCAAAATCTGGCCAACATTGTAGCAACATGATTTTCTCAGTCTAACTCTCACACATTAATAAACACGTCCGCCTTGCTCTATTCAAGCTCATGTAACCACACGGCTTCCTAGTGTCCTTACCTCCTTTCCTCTTTCCTTCCTGTTTTTTTTTTTTTTTGTACTTTTAACCTTTTCATATTTTTTCTTCTGCTGTTTGTTCATTGCTTGTGCACTTCAGCCTTTTCACTACCTCTGGAAATAGCATTTTTCAAAAATACTGCAGTTTTACAACAAACAAAAATATAGGGTCATTTTTTCCTTCCTTCCTTCCTTCCTTCCTTCCTTCCTTCCTTCCTTCCTTCCTTCCTTCCTTCCTTTCCTAACCGTCCTGCTGTCTTTCCTGTTAAACACACAGTGTGTAGCTGTTACAGTGTGATCTACGATGGAAACACAAATTCAGTTTCCTTCCGTTTTCATTTGAATCTGTTGCTCATAGAAGACAAAGCACAGAAGAAAACATCCTGTAACATATCTGTTACACACTCACACTTTCTAAAGTTTCCTTCCTGTTTGCAGTTAACAAACACAAAGTGAAACCACGGGCACGCATATATCTAAACTGAAGAAGATTTCCTCTTTTGGCCTCACTTGTCAGTAGAAATCCACTTTGACAAAGACGCGTTCGAGGCTGTAAACTTCACTGTGTTATCCTGGTTGATACTGTTTTGGTTCCTCTTTTCCATTTTAACTGTGATAATGAATGTGCCTGGTAAGGTATTTAGCAGACAGGGATCTGTTATTCTCATTTCAACTCAGTTTTATTATTGAATTCTTTTAGAACAGCTTTTCATGGTTCACAGTTCTGAACAGTTCTTATGTATCTCATGCTGGGCCTTCATGCAGCTTCTCCGTTCATCCTCTGACTGAGATGAGCAGTTTTAGCTCCTCCCTTTTTTTAGTCAACAAAGTATTGATCACGTCACCCAATTGTTTAAGTAAATATAATTCTAAAGGTGCTGGTGACGTGAAATTCTCACCACATGTCAGTAACAGCCCACGCAAAGAAATCAATGCATAGATGTCCATAAATTATGTTTAATAATGAAAAGTGACATTACTCTGTTTATTTGAATCAAGCTGTATCAAAGTCTTAGTTACACAGATATATTTTTGGTGTGACGATGTCGTGGCTAACGTGGTATTTCACGTCTGCAGGCCCACAGAACTCTCTACAGCCAAGCCAACATGGAAACACGTTACTTTGTGAAAAAGAAGACACTGCTGGCTCTCAGTAAGCTGACTGCACTAGCGTCTGACCTGCCAGAGGACCAGCTCTCCAAACAAATTGATGGTAAAAAAGCGCACACATTGCTGTATGCATGCAGACCTCCCTGCACCCCATAAACGTCGTTATCCGTGGAATTTTACTGGATCGAACCAGCATTTAGATCATTTTATTGACACAGATTCTTAGATTGTCAGTGAATAAAAGTTACTTGTAATCTCATTAGCTGCTACAACAGTGCTTGCCTTGATCTCATAGTAATTCAGAGAAAAGTTCAGAGTGTAAACTCATTCATCTTTTCCTTAGTAATGAAAGTCTTTAAGGGCATGATAAAATCGCCATATAAAGGTACATGTATTTGTGGAATGGCAGGTGCTTTGTAATATGTCTTGTAAGTAGACTTGACACTGTCATTCATCTGCCAATCAGACATTGTGGAGCAGGAGCGCTTCCTGCTGCATCAGGAGACTCTGCCTCGACAGCTGCTGGAGGAGAAGCAGCAGAACCCCGACACCATGCCTCTGCTCAGTGCTCACAACCTCATACAGGTGAAAACACGAGCTGCTTGTTTGTGGATAATTTTCCCGAGTGAACGAAAACTGCTTGTTAACTTAGGTACAATATTTAAACAAGATCATTTCAGTTGCTTAAATGTTTTTTATGATAACTGTATTGGTGTCTGCGGTTCCAAATAAAGAACCTGTTATTGGATGGATTAGTGAAAGTAGATAAAAGTAGTATAGAAGGACCTCGCCTTAAGACAAAGTGATAATCATAGGTATGCAGAAAAGATCAGATCACATTTAGAGAGGGTCAGAAGAAAATGATTCAAACACTGAGACTGAACAGCTTCGGTGCATTTCCTTTTTAACTCTCGTCCTCTCCAGCTGTACATCTGTGACGACAACAGGCGAGCCAACGAGTACGATTTCAAAAAGGCTCTGGATCTGCTGGAGTACATCGATGAGGTAGCCGCTAGCGTTTGTTTACAGCACTGGTGCGTTTGAGGCTCAGGTAGTCGGTCTCTCAACTTTAGCAACTTTAGCGGTTTTCTTGCTTTTCTGTTGTAGGACGATGCTGTGGACATCGACGCACTCAAATGTGAGATTTTCGGCAAAGCACTTAGGAGAGACGAGTAAGATCCGTCATGGTTTTTTGTATACATTCAACTGGGACTTTGCTTAAATTAAAACTTTTTCGCCTGGTATTTCTCTAATAACATGCAAATAGTTTTCTAGTAGTGAGTAACCTATGATTAGCTGAATATACGTTGTTTTGTTTTTTAGAGCCTTTCAGCCAGTTTCAGGTCACTGTTTAGCTTTAAAGCCACAAATCGAGTGTTTGGATTCATTCTCAGTTTTCTAGTTTTCAGCAATAAGACCGTGTGCACATAAAGAGCCAGACATTTCCCCCTGAAGCTGGTAGAGGCCAAAAACAGAGCAAAAAAGTAATTAATATTGGACTCTGCCAGATGATCAGAAACACGACTCTAAATGATAAAAAGCTATTCTGTTATTTCACAACTGAAAATATTGTTTACAGCTTGATTCCTCCACCGCCTGCTGTTAGAAACACGATGTTCATGTGAAATACCATTAGTAGTTTGTATTTTTTGATTATTCTACTATCTTTTGAATTATATACCAGCTGTAAAGGATATAAGTGTTTTATTGATATGCCAGGAAAGATGGAGTGTCAGTGATTACAGTTAGTTTGGATCAGTAAAGGAATCTGAAAAAAAACAGAAGTCAGTACTTCTGTGTGTGTTGGATTTGTAATGGTTGATTTAAATGCTGTGGGTATCTTTATTGTTTTGTTTTTTTTTGTTTGTTTGTTTGTTTTTCCACCTCCAGCTGGTCTTCTGCAGATGGGAACGACGACCCTCTGGAAGCAACAAAAGACAGCATCTTTGTCAAGATCCTCCTCAAACTCATTCAGGAAGGTGAGAAACATTGATGAAGGCTTGGTGGATTAAAGAAATATGGGGAGGGGGTTCAAGCGTATTGATGGGAAAAATGGGTTTAAATCACACGCAAGTTATCCCTATTATGTCATGAAAGCCCCTTGTTCAACTTAAATAGCTGCGTAGGCTAGTTCCATATAGAACTAGTTTATCAAAAACTGTGCACAATACAACTGAACACTTCTGTACATGTGATTGTCAAAGTTAGCAAACATTTGGTTCTGGCTGGAGGGAGTCGGGCTCAGCCAGTAATCCCAGCCGGCTTAGTTTTTACTCTTCTACACGTTCTGTTTACGGCTCTTCTAAACAGTGGACCACTCAAGCCCTCCCTTTGTTTTTGAGTATATTATGAACAGTCATGAGCTGAAGGAATTCAGTTTTCTTTATCTGTATGGTCATCAAATCATATGTATCCTTATATGAAAAATACACTTGTAATTACTAAACAGATGAACTCTTTCTTCTGTATTTTCCAGGCGTCTCTCTGCAGACCTATCTGCCCGACATCAAAGACCTCCTGGAGCTGGATGAGCTCAGCAGTTTGAAATCAAAGCCATATTTTGAATTTGTCCTTCGAGCTAATTATGAACATTACCTTCAAGCCCAGATGTAACAACCACCAAACCCACCAGTGAAACATTGTGCGATTCAGCTTTTCTTTGCATTCTACTCACTTTTCTTTAAATTGTGCTCTTTTCTAAATAAATGTGTTGATTTTGTGTACTTTTCAGTATGGTTTCACTCTCCTAGTATTCTTCAAAGACGCACAGCTGTCACACATTTCACTGGCTTCTGTACATATTTGGAAAAAGAAGTGCTGCTGTAAAGAAAATAGTTGTTTGTTAACAGGAGAGACAAGAAATCCATATCGTGAAGCAAGACATGATTTCAGTTCTTTGCATCAAAGTTGTTTTGTATGACGGCTTTATTAACATTCACCACGTTTAGAACACATTTGTCTTATGACAATGAATCAAATTTGCTCTAATGTGTGTGTTTTGATTCTTAGTGGATACATACAAAAGACACGTTTGCATGCTGTAAGTTTGCACCTCCTTTTTCTAAGGAAGCCGTCATTTATAAGGACACTCGTGCAGAGTACAGAGAGATCCTCCTGACTGCAGCCATGTTTAGTGTGACATACCAAGTAAGATCAGGGTAGGACAACCTACCACAAACAACTAAAATAATCTTCCAAGTAAGAAAACAATATGACAACAGTTCCACAAAAGTAAAGCTTTCACTTCCTGCCTCTTTTTGTTTGTTTTTTTACTTAAAAAGTGGCACAGACCTGAGCCTCTGAGATACTGGCTCGACAAGCTGCCCTGTACTCATCAGGGCTTCCTCCTGTTGGGCGACAAAGAGCAGATGTTTGTTATAAATAGATCTGAGCTCCTCTAGCTGGTTGACTGCCACGCTGACAGAGATCCTCCGCAGTGATCCACTTTCACGGCTACACAGGCTACAGGCAGCTTTCAGGATCCAGCGCTGCTAAATATAGTCACAGTAGATTAGATTGGCACTAGAGCTGTACATAACTGTCAATTTAGTTTGTATGACTCTAATCTTTCCTATGTTATAGGTAATTTACTTTTTATATTTTCAAATGGAGAATGATAATCCCAGAATAATTTACAAATGACTTCATTTTATTATGGATTTCAAATGGTTGATAAAAGAAAAATGTATTTATTATTGTAAGAGAAGAAAACAGGCACTATATGTTTAAGGCTTAAAAAAGGAAGATGGTAAATTCAATTCAGTTTTATTTATACAGCGCCAAATCACAACAACAGTCACCTCCAGGTGCTTCATACTGTAAGGTGCACCCTACATACAATCATATGACTCCCTATGAGCAAGTATTTTGGCGACAGTGGGAAGGAAGAAACCTCCAGAAAGAGAAATGGGGAAAAATAGTACAACAAAACTGAAAGAACAATGTAGTTACATTGTATTCTACTTTCAACTGCTGTAGATACTGGTTCCATTGGACATTTGCATATTTGAATATAAAGGGTTCAAACTGTATGTAGTATGAAACAGGGTGAACTATTCCCTCGCCACCAGCTGCTGTCTTGCACACATGCTGATGCGTCATTAACAATAATCTGTTCACCTTAATGATGCCTTTTCTACATTGTTCCCCTACATACATGTAAAAACTGAAGGATGTGCCCTAAATATGTTTTGGACTTTGCTTTTAAGGGTCAATGTTTGTCCCATCACTGGACACTATCAGCCTTAATGTTTTTAAATAATCAGTGTTATGTCATATAACATTCAATCTGACTGCTGTTTTCAAGAAATGTACGTCTATGGAATAATTTCTCCTGAGATTTCAGCTCCCAGCTTTAAGTGTTTGTACTTCAGCTCCTTTCATTTTTTCAGATGACTTCCTTCTATGCATGTTATTTACCTGCTGTTTCTGATTTGATGTACCAACTTAAACATTTCAGTTGCAACTGTTCGCTTCAGCTGCTTTCAAGCCATTTGGTGCATCTTTGTGTCCTTGTTTTTAATGTCAGTCATTACTGTAATAGCAGTAGTATTTGAAAATAAAGACATTTACAATATGCTTCATCAAAATTACTTTATTTTTTATGATTACTATATATTCTTATTTATCCCCTACAGTATGGGGTCAGCACTCATATTCTCATTTAATCGCTAATGTGATTCCCTTAATTTCAGTAAACAACTAAAGTAACACTTCGAATGATTTTAAAGGACTTTTCCACAAATCCAAGCAGTTTTTTGGAGATTATGTATCTGAATTTCAGGAGCGGGACCACGCCTCCAAACACGCTCCTTCCAGTTATCATCTATACAGGTTCCCCCCAGTTCTGCAACTGTTCATTCTCGTTTACGTGCCCCACCCTCCCTCCCTCCTTGTTCTCAATTCTTTAACGTCTTCACTTCTATTTAGTGCACGGGGATCTGCCCGGCCCGGGAGCCGTCGCCAGTCCACTTCGAGGCCTTCCCCGAACCGCAGCTCAATTCATGTCCAAGCATCCCCTTTACCTACTAAAATGCTGTCAAACCTAAAATGAGGACGTGGGCCCAGCTAGTGAAATGAATTTTTTGGTCTTTAGGTGTTCTACTTTCTGGTCTTATTAACTTGTTCAGTTTATCATCGGGCTCTTTTTAAGAAGTAGAAAGCAGGCAGTTGCTATCAGCTCTGTGGTTTTATTAACCATATTATATTTATTAAAGGCAAAACCATCGCTCCATATTTTGATAGCATCTCCTATAGAGGAGTGAAGGTTTCTCATAAAGTGTCAAGAGGCTGGTTTTGGTCAACTGGTTTTGACCTTTTGCCTGCTGCTGAGGCAAGTCAGAAAATAACTTTCTCAAAGACAGAACAATATTAACCGTATTAAAGAGAGGCATGTCTGTCATGCATTTTAACACCAAATGTTTGAGTGACGTCGTCTTCACATTTGGACTCATGATTACAGTCTTGTGTCAAGTCATCGTCGATTTAAAAACTGGCCTCACTCCCATGAATCTTGACACCTCAGCGGAGCTCACTTAACAGTTGGATAAACACAGCCGGGACTATTGGCTCAGTTTTTGTCCCTCTGAGGATTTTTGTCTCAGTTTGCAGCTGTCCAGAGTGTTGGAGGTCCCGGCCTTTCTTGTTTTAAAAAGCAGAGCATGAATGTCTGCTGCTTGTACATAGAAGTTCAAACTGAAAAACACACCTCGGAACAAACTTGGACAAATCTCAGGCAAAAGCTGAAAATAAATCTCTAATCGTAATGACAATGATAAAGTTTGTTTTTTTCTAATATGAATTGTCCTGAGTTGTCCTGTTAAACTTTCATTTGGGAGCATCTCCAGAGGTAGAATGGGTCACCTGCTAATCCCCAGAACTGCAATCTGTGAAGTGTCCTTAGATGACATACTGAACCCCATATTGCCCCTGATGCGCTCATCAGTGTGTGCATGATAGCTAAAAAGTGCTTTAAGTGCTTAGAGTGGCGTGTGAATGGGTATCAGAGCATTATGTAAGTGTAAAAGTGCTGTGAGTGCTCAGTAAAAGTAGAAAGTATTACACTTCTCATTTAATGTGCTGTTTGTTTTCTGTTTTTCTAACTGTCACTGTCGTTATGCCTTCACTTAAAACACAAAAAAGTCATTCCTCGGTTAAAATACTAATAAGACATGAAACACTAAAAAATGAAAAGGCTTTGAAGTACTGAATGGTTTGTGTGCGTGTACTGTGCGTGTAGCAGCAGTGATTCTACAGGTGACGGTCGGTGCGTCGCTCTGGTCTAGCTCCATACACGGGCTCGTGCGCTCCGCGGCAGCCTCGCGGGGACTTCCTCTCCATATATGGCCCAGCTGGCCCGCGAGGCTCTACATGCATGCATGCGACGACCCTCGCGCGCGACCAAATATGGACGAAGGGCCAGTTGAATTCCTATCGAATACTCGGACATTCCAAACTACTGTCTGCTGACGAGGAAAAAAGCTCTCCGGGTGGTATGGAGCAGAAGGCGTATATAAGGACCGTGGTGGTCGTAGCCTGTCACCCCAACACCAGCTGGAGCAAGCAGCCAACAAGGTTCCCTCAGTGACAGCCTGAGACACGCAGAGGTAAGCGGCTTGGAGGAGAGAGGTTCCCTGGTGGAGAGAGGGTTAATAATTGTAGCAGTAGTTAGGTGGAGTTACTGTTAATGGAGACTGCCTTCTTGCTAGGTTAAGTGAATGAGACAGATGGAGAATAATCTGGATTTAATGGTTAAGTGAAGGGAGCTGGCAGTGAACCACAGTCTGCTTAAGCTCAGCTTTTGTTGCGACAGGTAGTTAATGGAAAGACTGGGTTGTGTTCAAATGCTGTTAGAGATTTGTAACACTTGTAACTTTAGCTCGGAATACAATGTGTATTTTAACATTTTATGATGAAAAGTGATAATAACAAATGCTGTAATAAAACTGACATGTCTATTCGTTTACTAATATTTATCATAATTAGTTACAAGTACGTTAGTTGACACTTATCAGCACATCAGTGCTTTTTGCTTTAGTTTCAGTGTTTACTAGTGAATAGAAAACACTGAATCCAGCAACAATACATATACTTTTTAAAGCAGCTTTTGAAGGATGATTCCTTTACAAGGGCACTATAATGCATATCAAGAAAAGACAAAACCAGATTTTGAAGTTTATGGGGAACATTTGAAGGCATCATTAAACTAATGGGGATTTAATAGCGTTTCTGTTTGCAGCTTAATGACTTTGTGTCCTGGCAGGTTGTGTAAATTGTTATGACACAATCTAAACACTGGAGGCCTGAGAGAGGAGACGAGGAGAAGTTATAGTTATTAGCATGTGATTATTAGTGAAACAGAACAGGGGAGTCAGTGGTAGTAAAGCACAGTGTCATACACTTTTTTGGTCATTTAGTTTATTGTAGTGTAATAATTTATGTTTATTATATAACGAAAGAAAGAAATCAAAACGTTATTACAATTAAAAAACTGCTTGGAAATAACATCAACCTAAAACTTTCAGATTAAAAACAGCAGGCTGTTAAGTTTTAGTCCAAATTAAAAAAGGCAACAAAACATACTCAACAAAGTGACACTAGTATTAGCGTTAAAATAATTTGTCTATTAAGAGAAAATTAAATGAATATCTAACATGCAACTGGTGTTTTGTTCAGTGTGTTAAGTGCTGCTGAGTAATCCTGCTGTACAGAAATTCATCACATTTGACTTTCCTCCTCCAGAATCCGCAGACATGTGTGACGACGATGAGACCACCGCCCTTGTGTGCGACAATGGCTCCGGCCTGGTGAAGGCTGGCTTTGCTGGAGATGATGCTCCCAGGGCTGTGTTCCCCTCTATTGTTGGTCGCCCCCGTCACCAGGTATGCAAGGGCAATAAATTTCACAAAAAAAGGAAACTCATTCTTGCTTTTCTTTTTCTTACGTGCCTTGCAGTGTATCTTAGACCTAGTTCTTTACAGAGTAATTGCTGTTTGAAACTCTTGGACTCATTATATTACAACAAATTAAATACAGACATCAATAAATATACATTTCAGACCTAACTTGCTTTCCTCCCCTCCTCAGGGTGTGATGGTCGGTATGGGTCAGAAGGACTCCTATGTGGGTGATGAGGCCCAGAGCAAGAGGGGCATCCTGACTCTGAAATATCCCATTGAGCACGGCATCATCACCAACTGGGACGACATGGAGAAGATCTGGCACCACACCTTCTACAACGAGCTGCGCGTAGCTCCTGAGGAACACCCCACCCTGCTGACTGAGGCCCCCCTGAACCCCAAAGCCAACAGGGAGAAGATGACCCAGATCATGTTTGAGACCTTCAATGTCCCTGCCATGTATGTGGCCATCCAGGCTGTGCTGTCCCTTTATGCTTCCGGCCGTACCACTGGTGAGTCTGAGCTTCACAGAAATACAAGTTTCCTTGTCTTCAAGACAGTATTTCTTTCTCATTTAAAAAAAAAACTTAAGGTCTATAATGTTTTGGAACAAAGCCACAGTTTTTTGTAGTTTTGCATCGCTACATCGCCACAGTGCATTGTAAATAAAACAATCAATATGTCATTGCAGTGCACACTTTTAGCTTTAATTCAAGAAGGTTTCCAAAGTTTGACATGAACACTGTTTATACACAGTGCCCACATTTTCAGAGGTTCAACATTAATGACACAAACTAACATTAATTTAAGTATAAAGACACTTTTTATTACCTAATATTGCAACAATTATCTACCTGAAGTCCAGAACCTACGGACATCACCAAATGTTGTGCTTCCTCCCTTGAGTTCCTCTGCTAGACCTTTACTGCAGATGCTTTCAGTTGCTCCCTGTTTGGGTTTCTCTGCATTCAGTTTTGTATTTTATAACAGAAAAGCCTGCTCTGTTGAAATCAGGTGACTGAGTTGGCCATTGAAGAATATCTAATTTCTTTAGCTTAAGTAACTGTTGGCTTGCTTTTGCAGCGTGTCTTGAGTCATTATCCATTTGCTCTGTGTCCGTCTGACCAGCATTTAGCTGAACATGAGCAGCGATTATAGCCCTGTAAACTCCATAATTTATTCTGCTTCTTCTATCAGCAGTCATATCATCAATAAACACTAGTGGCCCGGTTCCACTGGCAGCCATACATATCCATGCCACAACGCTGCCTCCACCATGCTTGGGATCATCATTAGTTTCCCTCCTATCATGCTGTCTCTATGACAGGTATATTTCAGTGGTATAATGGCTTTACTCACTTGTATGGGGATCATATTTAAAATTACATTAAAATTACACTGAAAAACTATAAAATACAAATTCAACACTTTGAAATAGCTTCCGATGTTATGAATTCTTCATTTGTGCCAAGGGAGCAGGCCTCAACTTGCCATGAAGCTGCTTGTCAGTCAAATTTCCTATTAAATCTGCATCTCTGAAAATTGGAGACTGTGTATAAAATGGCAGTAATACTTCAACAGTTCACAGAAAATCTTTGTAAAACCCCTTGAACTAAAGCTGCACTTCAGTCCCAAATGAATTGCAGAATGTTTGTCCCAAACATTGTGGAATGCACTGTATTGTTGAAACAAATAAATGATTACTACGCTGCTTTTTTTCATTTTGTTTAATGTAGTTTCGGGTTGATTTTTGGGACAAAAAAGATACTTAAAACTGACTTTTAAGCCTTCCAGTGAAAAAAACAAATGTGGACATTAGAAAGAAGCAGTGATTGTTAGCACTCTGCGCCTTTTCATGTGACTCATCACAGGTCAGGTAGAAACCTGTCAGCTTCTCCATAACTCTTCTGTTTCTGCTCTCAGGTATCGTGCTGGACTCTGGTGACGGTGTGACCCACAATGTACCCATCTATGAGGGTTACGCTCTGCCTCATGCCATCATGCGTCTGGATCTGGCTGGTCGGGATCTCACAGACTACCTTATGAAGATCCTGACTGAGCGCGGCTACTCCTTTGTCACAACTGGTAAAACAGCACAAAATAAAACCAAAATGGTTAAAACTCAGGACATTACGTCCTTTCGCTCACTTGGATAAAATTATTTTATTCATCTTTCATTTATTTATTATTCTACTCTGCAGCAGCTTGAATTATGACCTTTGCCCTCTGTTTGTAGCTGAACGTGAGATTGTGCGTGACATCAAGGAGAAACTTTGTTACGTTGCTCTGGACTTTGAGAATGAGATGGCAACCGCAGCCTCCTCCTCCTCTTTGGAGAAAAGCTATGAACTGCCTGACGGTCAGGTCATCACCATTGGCAATGAGCGTTTCCGCTGCCCCGAGACCCTCTTCCAGCCCTCCTTTATCGGTGCGTAGCATCAACACTATTCATCCGAGACAGTGTAACAACTTTCCTTTGAAAGATCACATTGTCATTTCATTGTGTTTAACCTGAACCTCTCTGCTGTACATCTACACAGGTATGGAGTCCGCTGGTATCCATGAGACAGCTTACAACAGTATTATGAAGTGCGACATTGACATTCGTAAGGACCTCTATGCCAACAACGTGCTGTCTGGCGGGACCACCATGTACCCTGGTATCGCTGACCGCATGCAGAAGGAGATCACAGCTCTGGCTCCCAGCACCATGAAGATTAAGGTACAAAAGCAACACTGACTGGCACAAGATCACTCACCTTGCATACTATGACAATGATATCTGAGGTGCTAGCAGGCAATAAAATTTGTCTCATTTTCTTCTACTTGTGCAGATCATTGCTCCCCCTGAGCGTAAATACTCAGTCTGGATCGGCGGCTCCATCCTGGCCTCTCTATCCACCTTCCAGCAGATGTGGATCAGCAAGCAGGAATACGATGAGGCCGGCCCCAGCATCGTCCACCGCAAGTGCTTCTAAACATGATGCGTCCAAAGCATCAGGTTCAGGATCCAGAGCAGTAAGATGCTGCTGTCCTAGAACTGTGAAACTTCATCCTCTCATAGAGAGACCTTTGACTTCCACCAGCGAGGATCATGTCACATCTAACCTGTACATAAGTTATTTATTTTTTCTTTTATGTATGTCCTGTTTCGAATGTAAATGAAGATTGGTGTGCATATATGAGTGTTGGCTTCGAGGTATGACACACACCAGCTCGGACCAACTACATTTAAAAAAATCAAAGAAACAAAAAGACCAAAAAAGAAACAACCCATCAAAGCAAATAAAAGCCAAAGATTTTTTCCAAGTGTGACTGTGTCGTCTGCTCATTCTGATTCAGAACATTTGTGGATGTTTGTTCATTTTATTTTACTGGTCTTTTGGATTTTTCCATTATATTCTGAACATTATGACTCTCACACAAGAGACTGCACACAAACTTTGTTTGAATAAAATCTGTAAACAATAATTTATTACCACATGTATCAACCCTAACCTAGTCTACAATTTACATACATGTATGCGGCAGCACACCAAAAAAAATAAAATAAATTTAAGTCATCCAGCTCCAAACACAGCAGTGAAACATCACTGATGGTAGTCTTTATGAGGTGTTTAAAGCCTTGAGACAAACACAGAGTTCAAGTTCAAGAGCTGAAATAAATCCAGTAGTTAACCAGGCTAAACAATACGCTGGCTTTCTTCTCACCCCAAAACAAAGAGAATAAACATTGTCTTGGATACTGAGTGACATATTGTAGTTTCTACAAGGTGGTAAAATAGAATTACATTCCCAAGTTCCTATTTGTAAAAGCGAAAACCCAAACATCACTGGTTAGGCTGTGGTCCTGGCCCTACAAGAGACCATTTGTAAATAACCTTTTATTTAATTTATTTAGGGGTTTGTTGTTGTTATTGTTTTCTCCTCATATCTTGACTGCTCTGATGGAGACAGAACACGCATGCGCGGTCTGGTGGAAGCGTCTTAATGTAAAATCACATTTCATTTCATATCAGTCTGGTACACTTCTGTTATACTTTAATCCAGACAGGGATAAATAATAGACGAGCTCCGGATGTCCAGGATATATATTTCAAAATAAAGCTTCCGACCATCTAAACTGAATGGTTTTTGCCTGAAATCAGCCTGAAAGCTATAATATGAGCAAAGTAGAAGATTTTATCTTGAATATCCTCTTGATTAATCACGTCCCTGGGATGTTTTAAAGCACTTGTTTGAAAACCAAAGCCGGAAGTTGTATGCGCTATTGCTGCTAGCTTTCTAACTGAGCTGGGCGTTCGGTGTCAGTAAGCAGAGCGATGCTCGCCTGCTGAGAGACGGGGTTTAAATCAAACGGAGTCCCCCTGGTACACACACTTGGTGAGTACATATATTCCTGACTTTAATGCCCAATCAGACTTTAGTCGTCAGCCTGAGCATTGAAATGACCCCGTGTTTACAAACGAAGCTGAACGCAGCGGGCAGGTGAGGAGAACGGCTGTGAACATGGCTGTAGCCTGCTTTCACTCGGTTTGGCATTTCAAACCTCAGGTGTACACACTTCATTGCGTTTATTAACTTCAAAATACGTCGGAGCTGCAACGTTTTGCTCTGCTGTGTGTTTACAGACTAAAATCTTTAAAAATGCTGTGAGCTGGGGCGTGACAGAGTGAAAGGCTTTGTAACAAGACAGTGTGTTTCAGTTACAGAAAAACACATCGGGAGATGTGCAGTAAGCAGACAGTGACAGCATAATATACACTGAACAGGTTTTGTCCTCAGATCGGATACAGGCTTAAAAAATCAAATACTGGCTTATTTTTACTATGAGTAACAACAAGTGTTAATGTATAGAAAGAAAAGGAAAGTGCATGTAGGCGTGTAGACTAAAATAGACTGGATGTTACTGGTCGTGTGGTGTGAGTGAGTAATGGCTGTAGTACAGCTAGTTGTAAAGCTGTAGTAAGCCTCAATCCTCCCTGCTCTCAGGGTAATCTGATGTGGAGGGAGGTGGGCGGGGCTTACAGGTAGACTACACCTGGCAGAGGTACGTCACCAGGTTTTGCAGGTGAATCTCGAAAAAAAACCAAACAGAAAATGTAAACATTTAATAGGTTTTATGTTATGTTACGTTATCGATATATTTTTACTGAATATGGCCAGAGCTTTAGATGAAATCAAGCGGTAAAGCGTTTCATATGTTATAAATGTTTTGTTTGCATATGATGCATTAAAAAGAAGTCCCAGGAAGAATGTCAGTTTTTGCATTCATGATTATTAAAGGCCAGTCAGATTTAGTGCTAATAACCTCTAATGGTTTTCCCTGATCTGTGGCTAACAGCAGCTGAAGACGTGGATGGGTGGATGATGGTATCATGGCTGTTTTGCAGTTTTTGACAGGAAAAAAATGCTTTGATGCATGAAAGACAATATTATTATTGTACGTTCATTTTGTTGGACTCAATTATTTTATGTGTTAATGCATTCAAGCCAAACTGCTGCCTGTCCTGAGTCCGTACCAGTCCCACAGGAGGCTCTCCGAGGTTCATTCCACCTGGGTTGAACTGAGCATCAAGTATCTGGTGCTGACTGTTTGGCATCTGAATGTATTACGTACATGGTATCACACATTGTATATCCATGTATAATGGCTGTTGTAAATTTAAGTCTCTTTGTCATTAAAGCAAATGTTTATAGTCGTCCCTCTGTCCTTCTGCTAATGGGCAGTATTCAGAAAACACAGTGACAGCTTTGTTAGTGTAGCAGCAGAAGAACAGACTGATCAAACCCTCTCAATGGAAATCTGAACCACAGTGAAATGCGACACTGTGTGTTGTGCTGGATGCAGCACAGGGTTAATATCCACCAGAGCTCTGAGCCGACGTGGAAAGTAAAAGAAAAAAATGGCAAATAGATAATTGGGATGCAGCTTTTAATTTACCTTTTAGTGAAGTGGATTAAAACATTATTATTCCATTAACAGTGGAATAATCCTTAAAGGTACTTTTTGTAATTGCCTTCTGCAAAATTCAACTCAATGTTTTTGGATGCTTGTTGGTGTTCCTACTGTCCACATGCTTGTAAATAAAAATGTGTTCAGGGTTACTTGCCTGGTAAACAGAGGTTCCCTTTACTCTAATCAGCCTCTTCTGCTACACATTTGATATTGTTTAGAAAGTACAGCCAAGCAAATAATGCACATTTGGGATATAAAGTTAGTGTTTTTGCATCTTTACAGTCTGTTGTTGGCTGCAGGGCTGCAATGATTCATCGAGTAATTCGAATAGTTTGCATAAATCTTTTGCTTTGATGCTTCGCTCAGTGCCTGGCTCTGTAGTGCACAGCTGTGTTAAACAATGTAAACGTGAGTGTTTTAATGTGGATCTTGAGTGTGTTTACACACTGTGAAGGGCAAAGAAGTGGAGTTCCTACTGAGACGCTGAGCTCAGGTGGAGTGAACGTGTTCCTAGCATCCAAAGCAGCAGCGCTGTTGCTGTGATCACCTTTAAAATCTTTACTGGGAAGAAAACTAGCTCCATCCACACATCGTACAGACACAGATGTCCAGAAGTCGTACTACAATACGCAGATGAACTGTTTACTTATAATTTAACCAGTCTGGTATGAGACTGGTATTACAAAGCCTGCTGAGGGCTGACGGCAGCCATCACATTTTACATGGAAGCATACCTGCAGCAAACACGGGTGAGTCTAAAGAGGGGTAAATACAGTCGATGGTTTAAAACGAGTTATTTTGCAATCATGTTTTTTGTATCGAGCCTTAAAAGTTTCATGGACTTGATCTCTCAATCAAGATAAAGCCTCCCACTCTCAACAGCAGTTCTCATTCCACTTCATCTTCACCCAGGTTTTGTTCTGTTTACCATTCAGTCACCACTAGCCATCTGCGGTGGCTGTAGCTCAGGAGGTGGAGCAGATCATCTACTAATCGCCAGGTTGGTGGTTTGATCCCTGGCTGCTCCGGTCGGCATTCCAAATATCCTTTGGGAAGATACTAACCCCAAGTTAATCTCCGATACATCCATCGGAGTATGAATGTGTGAATGTTAGAAAGCACTTTCAGCATAGAAGTGCTTCTATGAAGTGAATGAGGTATGTTATATAAAGCTCTATAAAAACTGGTCCACCTAGAAACTAGCAGGACTTTGTAGAGCAGCCCAGATATTTCTGTATGTTCCCCCGGAAAGGAACTTTCCCGACAGGATGTCTGTTTGAGGGGAGAGAAAAAACTCAGTGTAGCTGCTTCTGAAAACTGGGGCATGGATCTTGATGCTCATTGGTTAAATTCTTGTCAGTAACTGTTTCTTTGAAAGTGCAGCCACGTAGAAGAACAACAAACAGCAGACTGTTAACATTAGTAAGAACACTGCAAAAGTTAAAGAATGCTTTGCAGTTGCTTTTTATTTTTTTTTGTAGTGTGAAAAATCATCATTTATTATGCTTTAAATAATTTTATGACATATTTATTCAGGAGTGACCAGGATTCATGATCTCTTTTTTGTTTTTTCTTTCTCATCTTCTTCATCTGCCTCCTCCACCACTAATCTCTCCTTGTCATCTCTCTCCATCCCTTCCTCTTCCTCCTTCAGCAGTTTGATTTCATTCTCACGTCGCAGGAGTTTATTTGCTCAGTGTGAGTCTGCCCACGTTAGGTCCACTTGAAACAAAGTTTCACTAACAGCCCGTGAATAGTGGTGAACAGGAGCTAACAGCAGTGCTTATTGACAGAAAATCACAGCTCACCTCAGTGTCACTGACGTCGACTCGCTGACAGTGTAAGGGATAATATTCAGGCCGAGTCAATATCAAAATGTAATAAAAATCAGGTAAATACCAAAATTTTGTAGGGCTTCAGCTCTCGTCCAGTATAATGTGAGAGGTTGTTGATAAGATGATGATATAAATCGCATGAATGTCAGGGTTACACTTCACAGCATCAGTAAACAAGTAAAGGGAAAGTGTTTTACTTCCTCTGATAGAGAATATACCCTGTTTGTTTACTCGTGGTTGCCATAGTTAACTGCATCTTCATAATGTTTAGTGGATTTTTAGGATTCTTAACAACAACAACAAATGCTGAATATGAAGCTGCCAGGCAGGAAAAGAGGAAAACCAAAGAAAAGATTCATAGACGTAGCGAAGGACATGCAGAGGATTAGTGTGAAAGCAGAGGAGGCTACTGATAGGAAGAGACTCTCAGTGGTGACTTCTAATGGGAGCAACAAGAAGAAGACGACCAAAGAAAAGATTGCAAATTTGTTTCAAACTGAATTTTGTCTCCTTGCAGTGATTGGCACCAGGCAATAACAAGAACCATGGTGACCAAGAAAGTGAGGACAGAATATATGAAGAAGTTCAGGGACCCCAAATGGGAGACGTTTTCTAAATGCTATGAGGACTCTGTGAAGTACCGCCTGACTCGCCGGGTGATAGAACACTCCCACAAGCCCTGGTTCTGGGAGGGCTGGGACAGCGGCTCTGACTCCAGCGGCTGGTCAACACCAAGGCTGACCAGGAACAAAGTGGTTCCTCTGTCTCTCCCGCTGCCGCCCACATCCTTGGAGGTCAAGCAGAGGTTGTTGGAGTCAAAGACCAGTCCTGTGCAAAAGCCAGCGTGCGAGGATGGAGAGACTGACGTGGGGGACCGGGACGCTGCGGTTGTAGATGCGGCACAAACCACAGGTAAGAGAACGGGTCACCAAGCAGAAGTTCTAAACATATGCTTGATTAAGTTTCTTAAATGTGATTAGGCGCCGCTTCTCTCCCTGGTAAATGTTTTAAACATATCGTAGAAATTTCTGCTTTGGACAAGACATCAATTTGGTTTCCGAGACTTTGTGTCATAGCAAGGGTACATTTTCCAGAGAATTGCAGTTTCTGATTAATATTCTTTCAATTAACTAACCAAATAAACTAGAAGTAGCTCTGATAATAACCATGTCAATCATGAGGTGGCAAAAACTGCAGTTCCAGAAGTGGCCACTTGAGGCTGGCTCCAAAAGTGAGTTAGTGTCTATCCGGTTGTTCAGTTTGACGTCACTAGCCGTGTCTGGGTCTAAACTCGCTGCAGGTCCATATATCAAACGATCACTATGGCATTACTGAGAGTTGAAAACTGTCTAAAGTCTTTCATCTTTAATAAAATGATCAGCGTTCTGCTCTACCAGGTGTAACAATTGAGTTTAACATCCAGGCATCCATGAAAACGGAATTTATGACATTTAACGGAGTTAGAAGTTAGCAGGGAGTTAGCTCGCTAGCTTCTATCTAAATACAATATAGCATGTCCTGACTGCGGGGTTTTGGAAACAAATTAAAACGTACAGCTCTGCTATCACTTCCAGCATAAATGAAGACAGAAAACTAAACAGCAGTGACGTTTGTAGGGTTACTGAAGTTGGGCTAGCTGGTATATAATGATGTGCTACGTGACCGCTAGCGACACAGCTATGTTAGCATAATATAAACAAGCTAACTTTTTTTCCACTCGATAAAAGTTAACGTGAGTGTTCTCGGTGGTCAGGAACAAATGTAATCGCATGGCAGGATGCTGTAAAAGGACCAAACTTCAGCCAGGAGAACAACTGAGATAATCCATCCACAATACGAGGTTAGTCATTCATATACTGCTGCATGGGCTGGGCTGTAGTTACATCCTAAGGTTTTAAAAACTGAGCTTAAATAAATGATTAGCGGTAATAAAAGCCGAGGGAGGTCAACAGTGATCACTGACTGTTTTAGGAGCTTTTTGAGATCAAATAGAAGAAAATACATAACATTAAACATGTTAACAACACAAAAGCCATATTAAACGCAGACTACTTTAGGCCCGGAAGTAGGATTCGTCGCGTCATCACTGAACAACCGGATAGCTTCGGAGTTGACGTCACGCCGCAATGCATTGTGGGAGCGCAGCTCCATTTTCGGGGTCTACGATCCAAACAAATACACTGTATTGGAACGGCGACTACGACAAGAGTTAAAATGTTAAAACTTCACAGCTCTCAAATGATTTTTTACTCCATGGTCCATTGATCAGTTTTTTTCAACTATACAGTAGGGAAACTTTTTTTAGATAGATCATTCTTTTGAACAATGGCTGAAATGTAGGCGTGGCCATTTGACCTTGCCATGGAAGTTTCAGTTACATGTCTTGCCTCTGCATCATAACTGTACAAGTTAGGCTCAGTTTCCTAGTCAAGCCTTCTAGCATTAACACATAACAGCATTCCCAGTCTCTCATACGAACATGGTCTCTGCTCAAAATAAGAAATCCAAACCCATCAGGTGGCCTCGCCCACGTCCCTCTCAGGTACTGCTGTACCACGAGGGCTCGACATTTTTTGATCCTCGGCTGTTCTTTGTGTTAGCTTGTCAGCAAGCAGCATGATGCTTATGGTGCACATTAGACCTGCTAAACATGAGCTGCTTAGCTTCGTTGTTGCAAGGATGTTGACATGTGGGTCAAAGCCCTGCTCAGTGCAGCCTCACAGAGCTAACCTTGTTTTACTCTTCTGACAGTTTAGTCAAAAATAATTGTTTAAGTCAGTCATCAGGTGAATAAACTTAAGTTGTAGTCCTGGTTAATGATACTACATTAACTCAAATGCAGTGTATTTTGTCCTGAAATGCACAAAACTAACTGTAGGAGCAGAAAGTGACCATGTTTGCGTTTGTGCTTCAATTTCACCTTTTCTTTTTTAGTCTTCAGAAACAGTTTGTAAAGATCTAACAGATGGTGTTTTTTGTGAACCCTTTGTAAGCGTCACTCTGACAGTACGAGGCACAGAGGCTGGTTTACCTCAGGAGACAGCAGTGCTATAAACGTTTGGACTGAAAGTTCAGCAGTCAGATGGGACTGTTGTTGCTGAGACACTGAGCTTAAAGATAAAGGATCCATTGTGTGCCTTTGACATTTGTGATGTCTGCATTTCAGACAGGAGAGTGCCAGGAAGCCTGCTTATCTCTGAATTTCACAGTCACAAATCATTTCATATAGCTTGAGACACAGCAGCGCTCTGCAGGGTCACTGTGGAGCCATCCAGCTCCATCGAGTGGTTGATTGGTGTTTGGCTTAGTTAGTTAATCTGTTTGTTCAGTCAGCAGAGCTCAGTGGATTTTTAAACGATTGTTTCCTGTGTTCTTGTGAAGCAGCAGTTGTAGAAAATGGCGTGAATGAGGCCGGTGGCAGTTCTGAGGCGGTGGCTCCAACAAACAGCGCACCCTCAGACGACACACCCACAGACAACGGGCCAGCCGACTCGGCGTCTTCTGATGCAGAGCCAGTAAAGCCAGTATCCCGACGGCAACGCCGCCGCCACACGCCACGCTCTGAGCAGCCGCACCGAGACAGTTCCCAGGATGACAAACCAGCCGTGATCCGTAAACCGCCGAGAGCAAAGAGCACGCCGGTGATCAGCACCAAGGAGAAGGAGAACCAGAGACCGTCCAGCCGGCTGGACTGGAGGGAGAGACAGGTGGAGGTCAAGAGGACAACCAATGATGTGAGCGCTGATCTGTTGGGATACTGCAGCACTTTTAGAGCCTTTAAAGCTCAGGGCTCATGGCAACAACAAATATACTTTACTCTTATGACCACTAGCAACTTTTCAGAATTACAATCAATAATTTGACTGTTTTTAAGTTATACGTTCAGATTTTAAACATCATTAAATCTCAAGAGACAGACTTGCTAACTAGAAAAAAACACGGAGCACATTTTTTCTTTCTCTGCCCGTCCTTGGTAGTGCAGGGGTCCTGCAGCTCGACCTCATTCACAGGACAGCAGAGAAGTGAAACCGTGTCACCGAACACGCAGCAAACATGAATAATAAAACACCGCTGTAGCTTTGGGAAATGACTCCTCTCTCTGGTTTCTCCTCACAGAGTCACACTTCTGATGCCTGCGTTCAGACCCGCAGGGAGTCTGACAAGCGGAGCTCCAGGCTGGACCGCCGGCGGGCTCGATCGGCTGACCTGGAGAAGATAAGACGCTCGCAGCTGATGGTGGTGGACGACCGCTGGATGACAGAGTACATGCGCTGTTTCTCCGCCCGTCTTAGGTAGAGATGGGATCCACCTAGAATCCCTAAATACCAAGTTTCCTTACGTGCAAATATCAGGAGGAAATCATTTCTCATTTTAATTAACAATCCAGACAGAGAACCGTGTTGCCACAAGACAACACCGCTCGCTGCGTTGTCTCCTTAGTTGACAAAGAAATAAGAAATCAAGTGAAGAAGTGGGACGAGCTACTGATTTAGATCCAGTTGATAAAGTTCTAAATAGTTTCTGAACATCAAGTTTACAGTTTTATCTTTCTGTACATGGGTCGTTACAAAAAGTACCTTTAAACATTTTATAATAAAGATCAGAGATTCGATTCTTTTAACAGATTTGGGACTATTTTACGTATATCTTTGGGATTTCAGTAATGAAATGACACGAAACAAATCGAATTAACTTAAAATTCATTTAATTCCCTTCTCTCTGGGATCTTAGATAACTTCTCTCAGTTACTGGGTGAATTAGCGCTTGAGCCAGGAGGGTGTCACTCCTCTTATGAGAAAGGGACAGTGTTACACGAGTGTGTCTGATCATTGAGCAGCAGAGTTATCAGCTAGACTGCAGCGTCCTCTGGAAGATGTTTGATGTAAGATGTGCCCTTACATCAGTGTTTATCTGCATTCACGACCTTGCTGCTTTGGCTTCCTGATGGAGACAAAAAGCTGTTAAAAGCAGCTGCAGCAGAGGACGGACAGCTCGCAGCTGTGTATGGCGCCCCCAAGTGGTCAGAAGCTGCAGCTTTAAGCGCTAAAATGCTCCAACGCTCTTTTTTTAATTCAAAATATTTTTATTGAGTTTTTGTGGATATAGTTTACAAAGAAAACAAAGAAGGTGGAAAACAAACTGTTTACAATGAATACAAAACAGACATGTTGGAACATTGTTTTCCTCTCTTACTATTTACCAAACAAGCAACAAGAAAAAACAACAACCCCCCAACAAAATAACAAAAGCCAACAAAAGGGATTATGGTATTATCCGGCCCTTTCCATAAGAACCACACAGAACTTAGCTACACCATCACTGAGCTTCTCGTTCCCGTTAAGACATCCGACCACTCTGGAGAAGCAAATCCGTTAGTCAGCTGGAACATCCTTAAGTTGAAGTTTAGAGAAGTTTTCCAGAAAGACACCCCAAATTTGATCAAATGTGCCCTTTTGGTTCTGGGTGGAGCAGTGGATCTTTTCCAGACTGAGACACGACATGAGATCAGCACACACGTGGGAGGGCGGGGCAGCAGCCTGCGCTTTGCTCTGGGAATATACTTATCATCCTCTCCCGCTTTACCACAGAGAGCAAGTAGGGGTTGAGAGCTAGTTTCAGGCCGGCAGCCTTGTTCAAAGTGCAGAAAACCTCCCAAAAGTTTGCCAGGGCAGGTCCACCAATGCTCTTTGTAGTTAATTTCATCTATGCAATAGGTGTACAGAACATTTATTATGACGTGTGATGGTATGGTATAGCCTTTCCCACGTCTTCACTTGATGCCACATTACACGGGATTATTTATGACGAGCTAACGAGACAACAGGAACAGTGTTGTTTTGCTCCAGCATCCTGTCAGAGCGAATCGCTGCTGTCGAGAGAGAAAGAAAAATACTGTCCTCAAATTTCAGACTAAGGACCATTCATGCGAAACTTATTAACCATCACCTTTTGTTGTTGTTTTCCCTACGACAGTAACGATTGGCTCTGCAGGAACTGTTCAGATTTCTGTTTCTGAACACTTTCAGATGAAATTGGCTGAACTGTGTTTCCCTGCTGTTGTTTTTTGTATGAGAATGAACAATAAAATGACTCTTTCTTAGATTTTCTATACATGTATCTACAAAAAAACACACCCACGTCACTTTTGAATGTATTTAGTTTCTGCTCTGCTTTCATTTAGAGCTCGTTTTCAACACACATTCTGTTTTCAGTTCTCTCTCATGAAGCCAGCTGTGTGTTTACGCCTCAGAGAGTTTGATCGCAGAAAGGCCCAAACTGGAACTTTTGATATCTGTGTATTTTGGATATGAGGACTCGAGCTTAGATTAAAAGAAGTTAGAAACACATGATATGTCAAATAAAGCTCAAATCTAAGGTATTTTTACAGAAAAGGTTAGTTTATTAAATTGTAATCATTGTAATTATTTAGATCAGGTAACTGTTAAGCATACAGTATATTTATTGCAGAGTGTAGTTGGTGTGTTTTCACCTGGGGCAGCTTCTTTTTTTAAAATCGATTTTTAATCAGAAATAACCTGAGTGTAGTGAATACTCCACAGGAAAAAAGCTTTTAGGGTAATTACGCAAAACTAGATGCTTCTAAAACTTTTACGTGAAATGAGGAGCAGCCATCATCGCTGTACTGCTGTCACTCCTATTTGTTTAAAGACAGCCAGAACGTATCAGAATTCCTGAGTTTGTGGCGTCTGTTATTTGTTGATTTTAAGTCAAGATTGTAAATACACTGTGAGGTCATGGCTGCGTCTCATGACTCAAACTGAGGGCTAATCGTCATTATGTACCAAGTTTACAGCTTTGCACTCAAAGAACGTTTGTCGTTTTCACACCAACCGAACCTCTTCACTCTGAATGTTCACAGCCCTTCGTGTTTGTCCTGACACCACAGGAACTTTTCTAACACGTCCAACTTTAAAAACCAGTGTTTGTGCTGTAGGTGGCGACGGAGATGTGCACACACTTTACTGAAGTAAAAGCACTAATGGTTAAAAAAAAGACTCAGTCGTGACTAAATGTTTTGTTGTGTAAGAGTAGCAAGTATGGTTTCGCAATTAATATGTTTGCCTATTGACTAACTCTGTTAGAGCTGTGAGTGTACGAGTGCTCAGGGTTCAGAAAGTTGTAACGCTTCATCCATGTGCTCAAAACATGTTTTATCTAAAGTGCACGAGCGTTTGTTTCTGCGTTGCTTCAACCTGAATGTGTTCTCATTGTCGGTCAGCGTGAACAGTCAACATCGTTTTCAGCGTCACTGACAACAGCAGCTGTCAAATATAACAGGAGGCATAATGTGATGTTGTTCTAACTGAGGGCCCTCAAACCGAGTGCAAACACAGCTGTTAAAGACCTCGGAGTGAGAGTGGGTAACCGTACCTGTAGAGCTGCTGTGGATGCAAAGGTCACGCTTTGGTTATTTATCTTCATAACGCATTTTAAACGTATGAATGTCGAGACAATCACTAGAAATGATTTGAGGTGATTTGAAAGTGGAAAAAACGAAATATGTAACACTTAAGATGAGCTGTTGAGCAGAGCGGGCGTAGGTGGAGAAAATGTTGCTTTGTCTGGTTTACCAGCAACAGATGAGAAGGAATGTGCATCACGTGTCTGAGTATTTAATGCTGTCGACATATTTCGCCCACTGTATTTGTACTTAAAAACATGCACCGGCTATATTTTCATCACTTTAATGCATTGCTGTGAATAAATTATTTGAACAAAACCTGATTTGAAGAGTTGATCTTTGAGCCTTCGTGCTTTGTTAACCATGTCTTGTAATTTCACCTGCATTTCTCCAGGTCGCACGGCTGAAAACGCTGCTTATCTTTGATTTCACTTGTTTTACAACTTAATATTCGCCGAGTAAAATTACACAGATATCTTTTAAGCATCGGTGTTTCAGGGGCTCCACAGCTTTGAGCTTTATTCTGCTGATTGGTGGACAAAGATGTAAAGTCTCAGTGAAAACTAACAGCATCGTTAAGGAAATCTGTGCAGACAGAATCAGAATCCTGTTCTTCATGTTTACGCTGAAGTATATGCAATATTCCACGATATAAATGGAAGTATGAAATCAATAAAATCTTGTTCTGCAGATTCTACACATCACATTATTTAACTTCTTACACCCGAGCTGAGTAACTTTACCTAAAACCTTTCAAAGTGCCTTTGGAACAACATCTACAGACTCAGCTGATTTCAGGGAATGAACATTTGTCCTCAGTTATCAGCTCAAATATAGCGCGAGCATTTCAATGCACGGGCTCAATGAGACGGGTGACACAAGCAACAGCAGCTAAAACAGCTTCACTTTTATTCAAAGCTTAAAGAGGTTTCAAAACTGAAACGGTTCATTTGATGTAAGCTCAACATTCTGAACTCAACTGAGCGTCATTAAAACTACAAATTCCCAGCAAAAATGAGAACCAAAAAACGTCTTTGAAGAAAAAACAAAACAAAAGAACCCCACAGAACATTGGCTCATTGTGCAACCTTAAAAATGAGTCTTTAAAAGAGGGAACGATCACAAGATCACGAGGGGAGTCCTGCAGCGAGGATGCTGCCCAGCAGCGTTCGATCCTTCAGAGCGTTTTCGACATCTTTCTCCTCGATCTTCAGGAACACCTGCAGAAACAGACGCTTTAATCAGCCACGTTCCACTCGGTGTCTTGTTCCCTGATAACCCCTCGAGTTTCATTTTTAAGCAACAGAGGTCGAACACTGCACTGCAGAGCATTTCCTCGTGAAGCGTCGGGTACCTTAGTGAGACGAGCCTCTTTGGCTTTCTTCAGGGCAACGATCCCTCGACTCTCCAGCAGACTGCAGAGCGACAAACACTCGCCCTGACCCACTCCAGACACCTGCCTCTGAGCGCACAGGCGGCTGTAAACCTCATGGAGCTGAAACACAAACGCCCACGGGTCAGGAAACACCACCAGTCTAGAAACAGATTTACATTTTCTCTGGCAGAGACGGAATAATTACGCATTAATGCAACAAGTTTCCTGATTTGCCACGACAACACGCCGCTAAAGTCCTTTAGCAAACTAATATCAGCACCTCACCTTTCCCAAGCCGATCTCTTTGCTCTTCCCATTGCGGATGAGCAGCAGCAGGCAGCACACCAGCAGCTTCTGCTGCAGGGGGAAACTCTCTCCCTCTGAACCGCTGCTCTGAGACGCCATGCGGTCACCGTAGACCTCCGACAGCACTCTCGCAACCTGCGGCAGGCTGACCCGGGACGCTGCAGAACACACAGTACAGGAAGTGTCCAGGTAAGATTCCACCAATCAGCTGCCGTGTGACTTCCACCATCATCAGTTTTAACTCAAGAAAACATTTCACAACTCACCTTTACTTTCACCCTTTGGATCACTTGCTTTTTTCCTCTCATCAGACTCTACAATCTCAACTGCTCTCCTGAAATCAGCAACCAGAAAATCGTTTGAATGACATTTCACAGAAACATCAACTCAAAGAATCTGCACGAGGTCTCCCAAGAGCAGAAACAACTAAAATGCCTAAACGAGTGCAGAATTTAAATGCAAACACAGAGACATGATTCCCTAAAAGGTTAAAGAAAAAACAAGTCCAAGCATTCACCTGCAGATGTCCAAAGCTTTCCTGGCGTCTCCCGATACAGCTGAAACTTTCCTGGCACAGAACTGAACTGCAGAAGCGTCGAGGAGCCCTTCAGCCGACGCCTGAGGAGAAGAAGACGCGGCGCTGATTAAATAAAAGTGATCTGTAAGGTTCCAGCTTAAGCTCTGAGTCACACAGACCACATTTACCTGTACAAGCCTGTCCTGTACAATGGCCGTGAGCTCCTCCCGGCTGTAGGGAGGGAAGTGCAGCAGCAGAGGGCGACACTGGGGACGAGCCTGCAGTCTGGGCAGGATCCGGTCAGTCAGATCCAGAGCGTTTGCAATACCTGCAAAGACATCAGTGGTCAGCATGTAGAACAGATATTATTTTTGTCAGAACACTCTGCTTTCTGTCTACAGGACACACAGATGTGAGATCTGGTGAATTCGGGATATTTGTTGAGTTGAGTACTTACCGATGAGACAGAGGCGAGACTTTGGCAGGTACGGCCATTCAAAGATTGTGTAGAGGACATCCTGGGCTTTGCTGTCCAGCTGATCCATCTCATCCAGAACAAGAAGCCTTAAAGGGGAAAAACAAACAAACAGACCCAATCAGTATCTCAGCAGGCAGTAATCACAGCTATACTTTCAAAACATCCCAATAAGGACTTTCAACCAGAAACTTTTTTAAAAGAATACCTTTAGTGGATAGTTTGCTCTAAAGTTCTAAAAAGCCACACCCTTTAGTCATCTATCATTTACTTCCTTTTTCAAGTAAATGTGTGATAAGATAATGATAATAATAATTGATTGCATTTATATAGCGCTTTACAATTCCACTATACATTCACACACTGGTGGAAGCAGCTACATTGTAGCCACAGCTGCCCTGGGGCAGACTGACAGAGGCGAGGCTGCCATATCGGCCCCTCTGGCCGTCACCAGTAGGTGGCAGGTGAAGGGTCTCGCCCAAGGACACAACAACCGAGACTGTCCGAGCCGGGGCTCGAACCGGCAACCTTCCAGTTACAAGACGAACTGCCCACTCTGAGCCATGATCACCCCAAAGGATTGAGGATTTGTTGACTCACACAGTGGGCCCCGGGGCTGTCAGGAACCTCTGCAGTCCGTTCTGGCCGCCAGATGCCTTCAGTTTGTCAGCCAGCAGTGGGAAGACAGCATGGGAGCTCCTCAGACTCATGCAGTTCACCATCACCGTCTGTACTGACGACAGCTCAGCCTGAAGGCACACAAAACGCAACCAGTTACTGACAAAACTTCAACCCTGGCTGTTACATAGACAATCAGGGGACAGGTTATTAGCCTGCACTCAGACTTTAAACTTGCACTTTAAGACCCTCAAACTCTGGAAATGAAGCCTGTGGGGTGCTGCTCAAACTCGAATCTTACTGCAGTAACTGAAAGTCGCCAGCAGGTGTCCCAAAGCACTAACATGACAGACTACAGACTCCTTCACGCTCACCTTCATCTCCTGCAGCACACAGTTGAGGCAGGCTGTCTTGCCTGTTCCCGGGGCTCCAGAGATGTAGAGGCTGCCGGGAACATGCTGAAGCACTTTGTCCTCCAGGAAGGACCGGATGGACGCCCGCTCGGCCTCTCTGGACATAAGGCGCTCGGGGATGGCAGTGTGGAGTGCCTGCTTCACACTCTGAAGCCTCAACTCTGGAGAAGAAATGGTGATAATGTAATGTAATATTAATATAATGTAATATAATGTAATATAATGAATAATGTAATATAATATAATATAATGTAATGTAATATAATGTATAATGTAATATAATGTAATGTAATATAATGTAATATAATATAATGTAATATAATATAATGTAATATAATATAATGTAATATAATGTAATGTAATAATGTAATGTAATGTAATATAATGTAATATAATATAATGTAATATAATATAATGTAATATAATATAATGTAATAATATAATAGTAATATGATATAATGATATAATGAGTTGAAATATAAATGTATGAATATATTTGTAATATTAATGTAATATAGGTGGGGAACAAAAAAAGAAGAAGAAAAAAAACTAGAGTTCTTACTTTCTCCAAACAGTCGAGCAACGGGTGGCTTCTTGTTCAGATTTTTATGGCTGGGGCTCCCAGTAGGCGTTTCTTCTCGTTTCGGAGATGATTTGGCAGTGGAAGGGGGCGTCTGTTGCCCCGAGGATGGGATCAGCTGACGACGAGCCTGGACCGGCGAGTTCTCATCAAAGCCGAGTTTTCGTGGTGAGGCCAGGCTCAGCTTCCTCTGTTTTGTAGGTGAGCACTGCAGGGAGGTGCCAAGGTTGCAGACATTGTCATCACCTTGATGGAGAAAAATGAGAAGTGCTGTTATTTGTTATGACTCGAGGCTGGCTTTTTAGGATCTGAAATTTTAATCCTGAAGATTTGCCATTTAAATTCAATTCACATTTTTTTTAGTCTAGAGGCACTGAAGGTTATTAGTACACAGAGCTACATGAAGTAGTGGAACAACTGAAGCTTTTGAATTCAATGTTCAATACCTGTGCGCTTTCGAGGGCTGAGGGGGATCCGGCTTTGGAGACGAGGGGAGGAAGGTGCTGGTGGCTGGGCTGAAGTGCGCCTGGGTGAAAGAGGGGACGAGAAGGCGACTGGCCGCGTTGGGGAGAGAGGAGTGGGCTGGTCTGTGTAGCGTCTGGGGGACAGTGGGGTGGACAAGTTAATGGGACGTCTCGGGGAGAGGGGTCCGATCCGCGTCAGCCCCGGGGCCTGAGGTTCAGGCTTGATTGGTGACACAGCTGGGGACTTCTGGGGCTCCGGCTTCTTGGAGCGGGAGGAAACTCTGGAGGATTTACGTCGAGGGAACTGAAGTGTGGGCTGACCTCGTCCCTGGGAGCGTGTGCTGGGCATTTTGGATTAACCTAAACGAAGACAACATGTTTAAGCACCTAAATATGACACATGATTCAGACATCATTTAATTATTAAAAAATAATAAGAACCAATGTTTTGTTTGGCTTTTTTATATATTTATATATGCATGAACAGAGCCGTAGCCAGAATAATATGATCAGAAATATATGTGAAGATTAAACACTGATGGGATTTACGATGAAGTGCGTGTTCCTATTTGGAAATACATAAACATGCACTTTTGTGTAAGGACCACCAAAAAACAACAAAGCTAAACATGTGCTAGAAGACTTTCCACTGATTCACAGGCAAATTATTACTAAGCCCAAATTTCACGACTGTAGTTTTTGAGTGGAAACGTCTGCTGTGGGTCTTGAAAAACGGGCAAAGGCATTTCAGAAACAATCGTGCCCCCAAATAAACCTTGCGTTCATTGGTTGTACAAATCTTTTCGCATCCCTCCACGATTTGCTGTCCTATCAAAGTCGTTTAGCTCAGTTGCTCCAACATGCTACTCAAACACGAGCCATTAATCGCGTAGCTTCATGTTAAAATTCAAAATCGCAAAGAAAATCATAGCACTGCGCTTAGTACTACACTAACAGCGCAAATTACATTTGTTATATCGCGTGATTCCTGAGCTAACAGTTACCTATAAACAGGAAATAATACAGTGTGCTCCACTAATGGCGCCAAACAAAGGCCTCGGCCTTTAAATAGCCGAGTTTCCACTTCGACCGGACAGTTTTTTAATCTAAAATATATCTGGGTGACTAAAAATGACTCCGAATGCATTTGTTTGCAAATACAAGCAAGCGTGTAAAGTTAACAGATATTTTTAAGAGTAGTGGCAAACCTACGCTGAAGAGTAGACTACAGTAAGTCAGCTCTCTTCCGCCCGTTCAGTATCAAATGTATTTTTCTTTTACGAGTTAAATGAGCGTGTTGGTAACAAACGTACCTCTTAAATTAAGTTGACAGAAGTCCTCTCGGTACAACGCAAAACGTGTTTTCTTTTCTCTCTGACCGCCCGAAACCAAAGTTGCGCTGAATCTCCCGCAACTCTTTCTAGATCAGCTGTCTTTCCCGCCGCTGCCCTCTGATTGGCTTAGCTGAGTGAAGCTCATTGGCTAAAGCGTTACGGAGGATGTTACGTCAATGTTACGTGCCCCAGTCGGTGGCGGGAGTTTGAACACAGAGTACTTTTTTGGCGCAAAGTTCCCGGGAACGTATACGTGTCCAAATGATGGCATATTTACCTGTTTCTCCAAAATAATTTCAGTTATGGAAGTAATAAGAGTAAACTATTTGAACTACCATGTCACTGCAATAAAACAATAACACAAATCATTAATAATATATAAAGCATATAAATATATATTTTTAATACATAAAATATTTTTGGGCCATTACTACAAAGACACATTTTGCTCCTGATTTGCCATGGGCATTTTATTGTTGCCTTATTCAGAACTGAAGATAAGTGTTGACTATTTAACATCCTTTCGTTAAAGTGGGGAATGGTGGTTAGCACCGTTTTCTTACAAGGAGGTTGGGTTTGAATCCAAGCAGGGGCCTTTCTTTGTGGAGTTGGCATGTTGTCCCTGTGTCTGCAGGTTTTTTTAAATACACTCACCTCTTTTTACTGCCCGTGTGTTTATATACCTCTGGAATATGTTGTTCGATTTTGTCTTCTCTCTCCCATTGCTAGTTTATCATCCCTGCTCGCCTCTTTTTTATGTCTTTGCCTTCACTCTTAACTGGTTATGGCAGATAAAATCCTCCCCGAGTCTGGTTTTGCTGGATGCCAAATACCTTCCGATTGTCATTTTCCCTCAACTGGACTCTTTACCTCACAGTAAAACAAACCCCAAGGCAGCTTTTGTTGTGAAATTAAAAACAAAAAAAAAAAAAAACACCAAATAGAAAAGCCCGATAAAATGAATACAACATGAAGCCACAAACAGCTCCATAAGAGCAAAAAGACAAATTGTACACATTTAAAATAAAGGAAAAGGGTTAATAAAATAACGAGCTCAGGTGTTTAAATAAACACCAGTACCGTGGGACGAGGTTCTGTTAGACTGAAGATTAGCAACAATTCATTTGTTTTTGGAGAATGCTGACATTGTTACAAGTCTCGCTTACAAAGCACAAATAAAACAAACACACACCGACAATTTCTCTAAGACTTTAAATGGATTAGAGAAACAGATGGAGGCCAGTGCTCAACTTTCACTAGACTGTAGGACTGATGGAAACTCCTGGTTTTACCGCAGCTTTTAGCCATCAGTGAACAACTCCAGTAATTGGGCAACAGAACTGTTTTGCATTCAGTCTTGTCAACAAAAGATAACTGCACCCATGCCAAACATTTAGCATGCTTACTCATCAAAAGACTCGTGGCCCCTCATTCAATAAAAAGTCATACATGTATATGCAGCGAGCAGTGCTTATACTGAAAATAACCAGACATAAATGTGTGAGTAGCTTCATTGATTTTCCCCAATCTTGAGCGAGTGACGTTCAGGTTTCATCAGCAAGTCAAGTTGTGTCATCCAGTATCATGTTTATTGATTTAATCATCACAGTCACCACACACACACACACACACACACACACACACACACAAAGTTTCAATGTACAAAATATATGTGCAAATCCAATGAACCCACATTACATTCACAGCAGAACACAAACAGAGGTTTAAACTGAGAAAGTGTCATTTTCAGAACAACATTAGCTCATTTTGACTTTGATGGAAGCAGCAAAATGTAGGACAGATAGATGTGATAGCAATATGAAAATCATAGGTGACATGTGAGTTCAAGTTTTGAGAAAATTTGAACTCTGACCTTAACCTCCCACATATGTGAACATGATTATTTTGGGTCGTCTAGGCTACAGTTCCTCAATTTTGCTGTACAAAGCCTGATATCAGATTCTCAGAAACTACATCAGGTTTGTTTTTACATTCACCAGGTCTCAGTCCAAATAACAAAGACAAATTACAAATTCATGAAATGAGAGTTTGGGTCTTGGGAGGTTAAGGACAAGGTCAGAGATTCAAACTCATCTGAGAGGCACCTCTGGCATCACTTTGTCGTCGTGTTCTAGACTCATTGTGTTCACATGTAAAACCTCATTTACAGCTAAGAGCTTGTGTTTTCCTTACACACAAAACAATTTTTTAAGGTTTAAACATTTGACACACATTCTATAATAAACCCACATCTTATGGACAGCACATGAGATTTGTTAATCACTGCATTCTGCTAAATTTCATAAGATGGTTTAATTTTCAGTGCGATCATCATTTGGTGGCTGGATCCATCCTCTGCACCGTCTCACAAAGCCCTCTGCAAAAAACAAATGCTTTTTATGGTAGAATATGAAGCTGATTAAGGTTTTTTTTTCTCCAAAAGTTGATTCTGTTCATCTGGACGCAGCGTTTTGTGGGAGAAACGTTTCGTCACTCATGCGAGTGACGTCTTCAGTCTCAGCTGACTGCAGGTTTCCCCAAATCTTATCAATATTTGCATAATGACTGAAACCAGCCCACTGAGGGAACGATGGGCTGGGGGGTCAGGTCCTTAATCTTAATTATGCAAATTCTCATGACCATTGATCAACAACCACTGACCAAAACCCACTGATCAATGGCCATGGGTACCAGTCACAGAGAGTTGGGGAATGGCTGCAATCACAGCATTGTGAGATGGTGACAGATAAACCCTCCTCGATTCAGAGATGGTCTTTCCATGTACCGTTTATAAGATTGGGGAAACCTGCAGTCAGCTGAGACCGTTTCTCCCACTGAAAACGCTACGTCCAGATGAACACAATCAACTTTTGGAGATTTACTTTCCTGGAATATTGAGAATGCATCAAGACAAAGTTTGTTTTTTTTAAATTAAGAAACCTAAACAAAAGTTTTACTAGACGAAAAAAAAAAAAAACACTACATCAATTACTTTCATGGTGAAAATGTAAATATACAGTAATGATTATGACACATTCTACATTTTTACATTGATGAGAATGTGGATGTGAGGATCCTACACTGAAAAAGACGGCAGAGATAAAGTCTGGATATAAAACAAGCAAGCATGATTTTATTTAGGAACATTTATATGACCTTTGATTTAAGAGATGCATCAAGTTTCATCATCATCCAGCTTGCTGACAAAAGCAATGCCTAACTGAGAGGTTAACCGTTAGACTGACCACCAACTTACCGAGCTTTCCAAGCAATCCCAGAACAATCAAGAGAAGAGCGACGCCGCAAGAAAGAGAAATCCCAATGATAAGCATCATGTCACCACCTAGAAGTCAGAGATTGAAAACAAGGGTCAGTTTATTCCAACATCATTCTTTAATATATCCACAAGTCACGCAACTCCTGCGGTGAAGGGAAGGTCAAACCACAGATGCTCTCATTGGTCAGGATTTGAGATTTCTGTCACTTCTGCCTTGACTGTAAGAGTTCAGATTACCACGCGTGAAGTGGACACCTCAATTTAAATGAGGTCATTTTTAACAGACTATCAAATGCAGCAACTAATGCACCAGGTTTTTTTGATGCACTTAACTCAATTATGCTGCATTTTGGACCTGGTTTAATCAACCACACGAATTTCATGTTCAGGTATTTTTCTAACCATCTGATGTTTGAAGTTTAAAAATCAGCCACAAGTTACAAAGCTTGTGTTTACAGCAAGGGTGGGAACTCCAGGCCTGTCCTGCAGGTTTTAGATGCATCCTTGATCCATCACAGGGGATTCAAATGACCAAAATGCCTCCTCAACATGTCTTCACGTTCTCGAGAGGCCTGGGAAGGAACTAATCATTTGACCCAGGGTGATCTCAAACCTGCATGAGGCCAGGAGGTCCGCACCCCTGGTTTAGAGCAAAAAGTGAGAAAACCTAAGAGCGTTGTTCATTTTCACCCAGTACTGGATTGCCTAGACCACAGAAATCTAAGTGAATACTTGTTTTCAAACCTCAGGCAGTCCAGATAGGTTACAAACTGACATAATGCACAGCAGCCTAAAATCTAAACAGAACAGGTCATTTTAAGGATACGCCACAGATCAGGTGTGAATGAACCTGAACTTCATGGCCTTGCTGGGCAAAAATATCAGTAACACAAATATCCACACTAAGCAAGGCAAGTTTATTTATATAGCACAATTAGAATAGAATTAGAATAGAATTCAACTTTATTGTCATTGCACATGCACAGGGCAACGAAATGCAATTGAACAGCAAGGTGATCCAAAGTGCTTTATAAAGACATTAAAAAACAAAAACAAATAAAAAGCACGATTTAAAATGAAAAACAGTATATAAAATCAAAACAGATAAAGTCAGAACAGTAGATAAAATCAGTAGTTAAATGTAAGTTTTGAAATTTAAGCTTAAAAGTGTGGATTTGGTGCTTTATTCAAATGCAGCTGAGAACAGGTTCAACCTGGATTTAAATAAACTGAGTGTTTCTGGGAGTTTGTTCCAGATATAAGGAGCATAAAAGCTGAATGCAGCTTCTCCGTGTCTGGTTCTGACTCTGGGAACTGATAAAAGACCGGACCAGATGACCTGAGGGATCTGGAAGGTTCATACTGGGTCAGGAGGTCACTGATGTATTTTGGTCCTAAACCATTCAGAGCTTTATAGACCAGCATCAGAACTTTAAAGTCTATCCTCTGACGGACAGGCAGCCAGTGTAAAGCCCTCAGAGCTGGACTGATGTGGTCCACTTTTTTGGTCTTAGTGAGGACTCGAGCAGCAGAGTTCTGAATGAGCTGTAGTTGTCTGACTGATTTTTTAGGTAGACCTGTAAAGATGCTGTTACAGTAATCAAGCCTACTAAAGATGAATGCATGGACTAGTTTTTCCAGGTCCTGTTGAGACATCAGATCTTTGATCCTTGAAATATTCTTGAGGTGATAGTAAGCCGACTTTGTTATTGTCTTAATGTGTTTTTCTAAGTTTAGGTCTGCATCCATCACTACACCCACATTTCTCGCCTGGTTTGTGGTTTTTATGTATAGATTGAAGTTCTCTGGTGACCTGTAATCGTTTTTCTTTGGCGCCAAAGACTATTACCTCAGTTTTGTTTAGCTGGAGAAAATTGTGGCACAACCAGTCATTGATTTCCTTAATGCACTCAAGCAATCTTTACATTTTGTGAAATCACATGAGGAAAAAGAACAGCTTCATCACTGATGTGTGGATGCAGAGCCTGCTATTATGCATACTGTTTCACTGTCATGATTTAATGGATACTTAAAAGAAGTGAGCAATCATTCAAAGGTTTTGAAGGTTGTGTCTCAACCCAAATCCTCTGGAGAAGAGCTCAGAGTAACTTACGTGGACCGACTTTCTCCACCGTCGTGTCGAGAGGAGCTCCAGTTGTGCTGAAACCATCCTGCCCCTTTTGCTTTTTCAGTTTGTCTTTGGTTACTGTTTAAAATAAATAAATAAAAAAGAGAGAGAGAGACGTTCTCGTTAGCAGGGGTCTCCAACCTTTTGTGCGTCATGGACCGGTTTATGTCCGGCCTTTAAGGTGTTGCAGAGAAATACAACAAAAATAAAACCAGTACCAAAAAACGGACGATTTATTCATAACACACGGGAAAAGACCCAGGGAAACAGAGTTATCAATAAAAACGATACAAGTTAAAAAACAAAAAACCCACCAACACCGAGCCTCAACTCTCACAGACCGGTACCAAACGACTCACGGACGAGTACTGGTCTGTGGCCCGGGGATTGTTGACCGCTGGTCATTAGGATTCACACCACTAAGAAATAACCACAGTCACATATCTGGAGCTGTGCTGTGTCCAGGTTCAAGTCTTATATGTTGGGGTCGGACATGAAACAACTTGTTCAGGCTCGTCTATGACCTGCATGGTCACTCACTGCCTGCTGTCCCATTTTAGACATGCACCCCTTTTGTGAGATTTGGATGCATCCCATTACTAACATGTACTCTAGCCTCAGGCTAGCCTCAACAGGTTTGCATTACAGACAAATCCACAATATCAAGAGAAGAGCGACGCCGCAAGAAAGAGCAA